GCATGAATGTCCTGAAAAATCACATACAAGCCGTATCGGACTCGCCAATGCAATCCAGAAACATTCGAAATTGCTAACAAAAATAGGTACCTACAAAACCTTATTCCTTGTCGTCAAATTGCAGCAAAAATGCGCATTGAAAATCAGCCAATTTGAGCTATTTTCTAATGTAAACAGGCTGGAGGACATTCAATTTTAGACACCACGTGGACCGCGCATAGCAGAAAGGAACCAAGCCTCATTCGCCATTATGTTTTACAAGAGAACGTTTGTCCTTTTCCTTAAACTTGCGTTTTCCTTAAACTTTCAAAAGTTTAAGGAATTTGCTTCGTGCAGAAAATTCACTGACATTTGCACACAAATACGCACGACCGTTTTCTTGTAAAAAACTAAATTTGGTAATAGCTGACGTAGCTTGCTTCCTCCCTGTTTAACGCGGTTCAAATGCTATTTCTTTATCACAACTTCAAACTGAATCAGCGTCACAAAGTAATGACGATAAAAAGTATATTTTGCAACGTAGAAACCTTTTTTTGACATCTTTGACATTTATATCAATTGAGAGGCTTGGAGGACAATAAGGCGCACAAGTGCAGTTTTTACTATTCCGAGAAATATACATATGTTTGAGGTTTCGAAATTGCATGGACTCTTATGGCGGAGAAAAAAATTCAAACTAACTATTTGATGTTTAAAAACTGGAATCCGAAGCGAATTTTTCAAAGAATATGTATTAAGATTAGTTTTACTTGAAATCATTAATATCTCAATTTTTTCAAAAACTGCACTAATGTGCCTTGTCCTCCACGCCACTCAATTTTAAGGCAAAATAAGACACTAAATGGAACTTATTCTACTCGTTTGCTCTTAAAATGCTTGCAGGAAACAATTCTGATGGGCCTGGGCGCGCTGCTCTTCATCGGTGTCGGTTGCCTGGAGATCTGCGGTGTGGACCTCCTCCAACACGAGCTCGTCGACAACGCTATCATCTTGGGGATCCTCTCCATCGTAACGGGCATGATATTCCTCTCGGATATCGGCACCATCACACGGCGCAACGGCCCTAAAACCGTCAACTACCAAACCCAGAACCTCCGGCTCGCCCATGAAAAATCCCAGGGCAAGCATGCCGCTTTCGTTCCGGAAAAACCTGCGGAGGTACCTAATTCGCAAAACACGACACATTTTTGTAATTTCAAAAAACGCGCGATCGAATTGAAGAAATCGTCACCTTCCGGCCAAAGTATCACAAGCGCCATGCGACGTTTCAAAATTTCCGCCGTCATTTTATTTTTTTACAGAGAAATTGTTCAACGAAGCTGTCTGAAAATTTCACTGAATTTTCATTCTGCTGCCGAAATATTGCTGCCATTGTGCTGTTGAAATTGATTCAACCAGCAATTTCTCTGTAAAAAAATAAAATGGCGGCGGAAATTTTGAAACGTCGCATGGCGCTTGTGATACTTTGGCCCGAAGGTGACGAAATGTCGCTCGCAGAAAACTTGTTCATCAGGACCAGGCCACCTGTTAACGTGGAGCGTGGACGAAGACCGAGCCGTTATTCGTGATGGTTTAATTGCATCACGCCATTTTGAAGGCGCTTTCGCAATTTAACGTTCTTGGACCATTAAGGCATATACCAGCGCTTCTTAATCTGTTCAATCAGATCTTACGCACGTGCGCACAAAACACATGCTTTGATTGTACTGTTTCAAACCTTCTGCTTTCACTTTAATTTTAGAAAAGAAAACTAACTGTGATCCTTATAATGCATACTTTTTGCAGACAAGTTTAAACCTAATTGAATTAAAAAAAGTCTTCACTCAAAAATGTTTTTCTTTAAATAATGAAGAAAATTCTTCAGATAATCAGGATTTAATTGAAAAAATATCTCTGAAACCATTTTTTAGGGAATTTAATGACCTAAATAAAAAAATCGCTATGCAGAGAATTTCCTTCAGTAAACTAGGGTTCTTTTTCTAATTTGAGTGTCACATACATACAACTGAAGGCACTAAAATAAAATTTCCCACATCATTCTTACTTAATTTATCCTGATGCAGGTCACCAAGGTAGAGGTCGTGACCACAGAGCCAAGCGCGCCGCACGGTCAAACGAATGGTCACTACAACGGCCACGTGGAGGACCACGCGCGGATAGCCCACGAGTGGAGCAGAGAAGCCAATGCCAAGGAAAAGGTGAAAAACGCCAGGAACAAGGAAATCTCCAAAGCTGACATCGTCATCAGCAACCCGATGCAAACAGCTAGTTATCCAGTGGAAGGGACGGTGACCTACGGCATTGACCAGCCCGACTACGAGGTCAAGGCCCGGTCGAAAAGCGCGCATGTCGCCAACGGCTACCCCATGGCCGGGATGGTCCCGATGGGCGAACTCCGATCGTCGCTCAGGAAAAGGTTAGATCCAACACTCTAGAGGTATACAATTTTTATTAAAATCTCTGTGAAAGGATATTTACATAAAGGTTTTGGTCATTTCTGAGTATCTGACCAAAGTTAGACGGATTTAACTAGGGATAGCTAGACCACATCAGATACTAAGTTTGCCTAGTTCCTTTCCTTTTTTCGAAGAACGAAATGGACCAGTAGACATGGCACGAATTTCTGCATTCTGATACATGTTTCATTACTAAAATTTCACGTAGAACACGATGCGCACAACGAAAATTACCGGAATCAACTTCTTACGAAGATATTTAATGATTCTTGATGCGTGAATTCAAACCACCCACTCATGAAAACTCAATGCTCTACGTGACTCACATCGCGCTCAAAACGTTATCATGACAGTCTCTGAGATATAAAAATCTGGCAACCTCAATCTTGATGCTTTGGCTCAGCGATAGCAAGTTGTTTATAGTTTGAACAACACATGGTGGGAAATGAACATTGCTAGATCGAGAAGCTTGCTGAAATCGTTGTAGTGCACGATTTGACTTACGTAGAGCTTTGAGTTTCTTATGAGCGGGCAGTTCAAATTCCTCGTAACCAATGTGAAATAAAAACGTTAATATCTTTGTTAGGAGTTGATTTTGGTAATTTTCGTTGCGCGAATCGTGTTTTACGTGAAATTTTGGTCAAGAAACATGTATCAGAATGCTTAAATTCGTACCTTGTCTAGTGGTCCATTGTTGAGCAAATTGGACTGCATTAAGCAGAAAGGGACCAAGCCACATTAGGTATTGCCAAATTTAATCGAGCATTATAATTTTTTACATAAAAATCGTAGTACGGATTTTTGTGCAAATTTCAGTGATTTATCTGCATTCTGCATAGTGCGGAGCATGTTCCTTAAAATTTTCAAAGTAACCCGCACAAACGTCCTTTTGTAAAAAATTAAATTGCCCTATTAAATTTGGCAAGAGCCGATGTAGCTTCGTTCCTTTTTGTTAAACGCGGTCCAATTATAGGGATAGGAAGAGGACAGGATTACTCACGAAAGCAGGTTTTTCGTAAAATTTGCATAGCTGTTTTGAGGCGGTAAGTAACTTGAAATGTACAAGAACAAAAAGGTTATGAAGTTACGTTATTGTGGCCTAAATATTGCTTGCACTCATTATTCCTCTATTGCGTTATCTTCTTTTTGCGTTACCTGCCTCTCGTTTTCTGTTTCTTGAATCTGAGCTTTATTCCTTATCTACCGCTTCCATTTTCATCACGCGGATGTAGAGGCGTGCCTGGAGAACTAGAACGCCTTCACTTTCGTGCGTATGCAACACGGACATCCGTGGAGTTCGAATAGTTGTATCCAGGCGTTGTTATGAAAATATTCGTTCTGTGTTCGTGGCATTCACGACATGACAATAAAAGAGGGTAATTTCAGCGTCGCATATTGAGCCATATGAGATGAAGTCATTTCAACTCACTTTTTGATGATTTAAAGTTGGACTTCAGGAGTGAATTTTTCACAGGTTATATACTTTCAAACTAACTTTAGGTGCGAGTTCATGAATAGGTGCCTCAATTTTTTCAAAAACTTCACTTCGGCGCCTTGTCCTCCGAGCCCCTCAATTTAAGTTCCGTTTAAATCGCATCTAATTTTCCCCCTTCAATCACCGCTATCGTGATACGTGCTTGTGAACTTTAACATCCCTTTTGACGGTGCAGGATGGAGCGGCAGGAGCAGCATGGCAGACGATCCCACGAAGAAGAGAAAGCTATAATCGAGATGGACCTCCGAAAAATAGAGGGAACGGACCTAGCGCATCGTCGGGGCAGCATCACTGACTCCTACGCATCGGAGAAAGACCACACGCACAGCACTTACTACGAGTCCAAGGAGCACACCAAAATTGTGTCCCGACCCACAAATCTCAGATTCGCGCCGGATCGATCAAGGTGAAATTACAGAGACTGTGTTGTGAGCGGACCGTGTTGAGAAGAAAGAAACCAATCCACATCAGCCATTGCCAACTTTAATCGGGAAATTTAATGTTCAAGATGTAATGGTTGGGCGGATTTTTGTGCAAATTTCAATGAATTTTCTACATAGTATGCAGGGCCGGATTAAGGGCATTTTGCAATTTTTTTAAATACAGGCATAAAAAAAATCGGATTCAGAAAAGAAATTACAAACGAGAAAAGCGTCTTTCGGTGACACAAGAGACATCACCTTTAATAATTAGTCGAGTCAAGAGAGAAACCAAACACGCAATTCGGCGTGGAGCGACGCGACGCGACGCAGAGAGAAATGATGATGAGGACTTGAGATGAAAAGGAGAAGCCCTCATTGCGGCAGTCGGCATGTAAAACATATTAGCACCTGCAAGACTGCATGAATACTTCACGCGTTGGCGTTGCGTCAAACTTATTGTTAGTGCGGTCAGCAGCGGTTGACGTGAAACACATAGCGCCTACAAGACCGCATGAATACTTCACGCATTGCGTCTAAAGCAGCGCAGTCAGCGGCGGTCGGCGTGAAACGCATAGCGCCTTCAAGACCGTGGGAATACTTCACGCATTGCGCCAAACACAGTGCGGTCAGCGTAGCGCGGCGGCGGAGGTTAAAATTATTAAACCACATTTATGTTTGTTTTTGCATAATTTTTACGCTCATTTCTTACAAATGGAAGACCTTGTTCACACATAGATAGGTTTACAGAACTTAACTTTCGTGCAAAGTTCCGAGAACTTTGGCTAGTAGTGTTGACAGGACTTTCGCAAAAAATGTGTCCAACACGAGTATACGCGCCTTATGCTTACCTCCCCTCCCCTTCCGGCACGTTCACTTGATGGCTTTTATTGATGTTTTAAACCGAATGAGAAGGGGGCGGCAAAATATAGGCAGCCCATGGGCAGCAATTAGGTAAATCCGGCCCTGATAGTATGAAGCAAATTCCTAAAAATTTTCAAAGGAATCCGCTCAGACGTTCTCTTGTAAAAAATTCCCTATAGTGGAAGGCAATAACTGATGTGACTTGGTTCCTTTCTACTTCACACGGTCCAAGTATGTCTCACTGAATTTTTATTGAAGTTTTCACGGAGAACTATCAAAACTGCAGAAATGCGTCTCTCGGTTTGCAGCGTTGCAGACTTCCTGTCGTAGGTACTTATTTTCTGAGTAGAAAACTACAAAGCGCCATTTCGTGAAAACTTCGATGATTTTTCTTCTCTAGATGAATTAAATACTCTGTGGAAATTTCAAGCTAAGAAGTTGGTTCGATTTCCTTTATGAAAACAGAAGAGGAGCGGATAATTTGAAACACCGCGACCGAGATACGCATTTTTGCAGTTTCAACGTCAATTCCAAGAGGTTGAGTCTAAAAGAGAACAATTTCATTTTCCAGATGAGCTGTGCGTAACAGGAGATACAGAGAATAGGAATGCAGCGTTGCAAGGCTCATCTGGAAGATGGACTCATTCTGTCGTGATAGCAAGGAGAGCAGTAAGTGCATTCCTGTATGAGCCATGGTCTGCACATAATTCTTTGTGTCTCGAGGTTTATCCCAGCATGCATGTATTGCTCTCTTTGCTATCACGGCAGCATTCTTCTGTAAAAAAAAGCAACTCGTCCATTTGAGGTCTCGCAAAAAGCAGGTCCTTGGGCTACGGATATGAGACGAGTTCGTCTGATGTGTTATTTTGCCAGAAGGCACTAGTGAAGGCGAACTATGGAAAAATTCTGTAGGAGCGTTCGGGTGACATAAAAAATCTCTATAGACCGATAAAACTTTTTTTCGTTTTTAGGAAAATCATGAATATATCCATTGGAATTTTCAGAGCCTTATGATTCGATTGCGAATAAAATTCTCTGGGAAGTCGGAAGAAAAATATCCGCAAGTTTTCTAGATATCGCATCTTTGACGAAAAAAAAATTTACCATGGTAGATTCAGGCGCCTTTCCTAGGCACGGCAGAATGCTCCGTACAGCTCACTCGGAAATAGAATTTCGCTCTGTGAGGCAAAGTGCTTTTCGCCTTCATATTGGCTGATAGGCAAAAACATCTCCTGCACATCGCCTAAGGTTGTGTGTTATGTGAGCACGGGAACTTTTCGTCCGACATAATTGAACGAAAAGTTGAATGGAAAGTTTAGCGCAAAAAAAATTGATTCAGTAGGTACTGCTCCGTTCAACTTTCGATCCAATTGGCGTCGCTAATCGGATGGAAAGATGAATGTAAAGTTGAATGTGACGTCAAATTCAAGTTTCCGTTCAATTTTCCATCAAATTGTCGTTTTCTCGCATCAGTATCACATTATCCAACTTTCCATTACGACGAGTTGCGTGCAAGAGTTGAACTAAAAGTTTGATAGTGTAAATTGGACGTGTTTCTGCCAAACGGAACTAGGTACATTAAGGCGTGAGCTCCGAGACCTGTAAGAATATATGCATGACAGGGCTCACGTCGTAATGTACATAGTTCCGTTTGACAGAACGTCCAATTGGGTTTGAGAGACCTACTCCCCGCGCTGAAACGTGTTGCCGCGTCCTTCTCCGCCCCCTAAATTTGACCCTAACTACACTTGATGACAATTGGTTTTTTTTTCGCAGGTCTCCTCAGCGGTTCAGGGACCCGTACTACGACGCTTCGTTCAGGGGGTTGAGCCGGGAGAAGCGTCACTTGTCCAAGAGCATGGACGACAACCTGTCGGACTTGCGGGCCCAATCGCCGACCGTGACCAGCTCCCAAAAAACCCCGCCGGGTCACAGCCCCCAAGGCCGCGGCGGCCCGGAGGAAAGCTCCGACGAAAGCGTCACCCTCCAGCTTCCGTCCGTCTCCTACCTCCTCGCCGACAGGGGCAAGAAAGTGCAGCCCACCCTCGCACACTCCCCGCTAGAGCGCGTTGCCGACCACAAGGACCACAGGAACGGCTCCCATAACACCGGTAAGCACGTCATGCGACTGATATGAGCACAAGGGAAATTTTCATGAGCGCCGCCGCCCGCGGCGCACTATGGTCCAAAATTCAAGGATAGGAAGAAATAAGTCGGATAATGACTGAAAGATCACGAAAGTTTCGTAATTGATGTTTTATTGAGTCGCTAATTTCGAATTTGATGTCATATTGCCTACATTTTAACACCCTAATTTATTAATTGGACGTATTTCTGCCAAACGGAACTATGTACATTGAGATATGAGCCCCGGGATCCATAGGAATATATACATAACAGGACTCACGTCATATTGCACATAGTTCCGTTCGGCAGAATAACGTACAATTGTATAGGCAAGTTTATGGCAGCCAGCTCGAGATGCACACTGACGCCTACAAACCTAAGGGGATACTTCAAGCGTTGCGCAATGCGTGAAGTAGCCCTTTAGGTTTGTAGGCGCCAGTGCACGTTACGCGCTGGCAGCACGCCGGCCGCGGCGCGGCGCTCCCGACGCGGGCGGGTGGTGAACGACTGCAAGGAGAGCTCCCTGGCCGAGAAAATCGTAGGTCGAGTAAATTTTTTTTTTTTTTTTTTTTTTTTTTTTTTTTTTTTTTAAATTTTGATTAATATTCAACTTTCAAAATTACACACTGGTCATGTGAAGTAATAAGTGAACTCTCAACACCGGATGAATAAAGGCAGGTCGTGCGCCATGCGCGCTGCGGACGGCTCATGAAATTCTCCCCTGTGCTCTGTCGGCACGTCATGTCGAATTCCTTCAATTTTGAAAAGAGAAAATTGGACCGCGTTAAGCAGCAAGGAACCAATCCACATCAGCTATCGCCATATTCAATCGGGCAATTTAATTTTATACATAAGAACGGCTGTGCGGATTTCAGTGAATTTTCTGCATAGTCGAAGCAAATTCCTCGAAATTTTCGAAGGAATCCGCTTAAACGTTCTCTCGTAAAAAATTAAAATGCCCAGTCTTTGGCAATAGCTGATGTGGTTTGGTTCCTTTCTGTTGAACTCGGTCCAATTCACAACATGCTAAGCGAAATCAAGTGTTCCTGAGATTATCAGTGGCGTAGCCAAAAAGATTTTATGGGGATGGGAGTCTTATCTAAATTCACTCTAAAAGTGATAAATTTCTGGAAGGAAATCACAAAAAATGCGACACCTTCTCGCGGAGATTTTCCAGTCATGGGGTGAGGGGAGGGAGGTTCCGGACCCCCCGAATCCCCCCCCCCCCCGACCCCCCCCCCCCCATGCCACTTACGATTATGAAGCTGTCCCACTACCCACTGGTCATTTAAGTCTATGAGATTTCATGCGGTCAGAATCGACAAACTGAATCACTCCCAAAATCATGGTCAAAACAAGGGTTTTAAATTCCAAACAATTTCAAACTTTAGCCGAACGTTGTTGGTATGCTTTTAAAAAGTGTGAACATTTCAATGGGAAAATGGGAAGGGATGATAAAAATAAATCTTTGAAAGCTTATAAAAAGGTTGCAATTAAAGGTTTTGGGAGGAATTTGAAATTTTGATAATTTCCAGCGTAGTTTGATTTATTGACTCCTTAGATCAACCAAAATTTGATTCATTAGAATATAGGACCGGTGGGCCATACTTGGAGGTCTGACTGCCTTAGAGTTACCCAAATTTTTTGCTTGTAAAATTTCAAAGATATATCCGTTATCTTCAAGCTAATTTTGGATGATGTGTACAGGTACATAAAACCACTTGCTTACTATCATTATTGGTTCATTAAATACCTTTTTTTCGATTTCTTCCAGATAAATATTATTACGGTGCCCAACAAACTGTATTCAACCCTCCTGCAGGGGACCTTAAATCCTCACCGAAGTCTCCGAGAGACCCTGGATACGTTTTGCACACAGCTTCAAAATGGCCAACAGCAACTGTGACGGAGTCAGATTCTAAAGTGCGATGGAGTGTGAATGCACGGACTCAAAATATGAGATAGTTACCATACATTTTTTAAATTTCTAGCTCACTTAATTGTAATGACAAAAATTTCCTAGAATGTGTGCTCGGTCACGTCGAAATAATAGACAATAAAACAGGATTTTGAGGGGTTGAAGTAAAACTGTTTGTAACTGAAAAGTGTTTGCTGAAGAGCTTGATTCTGTCTTCTTTCTATTTCCTTTGAATGTGATCGGTTATATTTCCAACTAACTTAAGTACCACTTTTTAAAGGTGACTGAAGCCAAAAGCAGAGTATTAACCAATCTGTTGTCATTAGAACAGAACTACCTACATTTCAATGATATGATCCTTGATCAGTATACCAATAATGAAATTTAACCCTTTCTTTGGCACATCACAGCATTCAACTGTATTTTTTAAACAATTTCAAAATTCTGACGATGAGAAAGTAAAGTAAGTACAGGATAGAATCCATGCAGGAATCAGTCCAAAGCATTACCTAAGAAATTTATGAAGATGAGACGCAAACTAAGAAAGACTGAGTCAATGTTCAGATTGCCACATAGACGTAACGCTCAGTCATTTTTAAGTGTATTTTGATGTCACATGAAGAAACATTTTCGCTAAAAATTTCCTGACAAAACGTCCACTTATGCAACGGAATTTGTCCTTAACAATAATTTTTCATTCAAATGAGGCTATCTCCAACTTGTTTACGATATTTTTACTAGTAGTTTGTTCTCTGAATTTGAGCATTTTTAACAGTTGGATTGATATTAAAAAAATCATTGTGAAAAATCAATGAGAAACAAGTCACAGCATACAAAATTGTAATCCCTAGAGTGAAACTTCCTCCAGCATAGACAGAAAAGTCACGTTTGGCAGTCTTTAAGTCCAAATGCTGCAGTATGCTAAAGGTGAGATAAAAAAAATGACTCATTTTTTTTCCAGTCCGAAGCCATTTTTAGAAGTAAAGACTTTATATTTTTCCATGAAAATATTGTTGATAGGTATGTTGTAAAACATCTTTTGTTATCATCAGAACCAACACCTACATATACGCTCTTAAAACTTTTTTTTCTTTTATTCACCAATAGTTTAAAATGTTTGTTTTAAATCAATTATTTAATACCAGTATTACCGACAGTCCCAGCAAGTTTTTGTGATAATTCGTATTCACAGAATGACTGCCATTTCTCTTTAATTTCAAGTATTTGGTGATAAAATCTTCGATAACATTTGCACGAGGTCAGCAAAATCTTTTGTAACAGTCTTTGGACCCACATTGAGGGCAGTATTCATCGGCAAGACTACTCAAGCTCATTCAACATTCAGGGTCTCTGCCTCACAATATTAGAGCCAAGACTAGATGAGGACAAAAAATACATCTTATATATTCCCATTTACTGACCTGTATTTCCTACATATTTATTTAATGACTTTGTATTGTATCTTATCATGTATGATATCCATTAGAATAAATCTCTTTTATAAATGAAATATATTCAATTCATTTTCATTCCCATAATATTTCAAATTTAAGAATTTCGATCGCACTGCAAATTGGATATTTTTCGTTCAGTGAATTGCAAAATGCAGTATTTTAAAAAAGCTATTTTGAAACACTCAAATATACATATTATCGTTGTTGATCGGTCGAACATGAGCACTGCAGTTGAACATAATTGGATTGGGACGGATTAGAGATTAGGCTTTCAAAATTGGTGCTGGTTGAATGCTACCATTCACATCAGATCACATTCAAATTCTACTTATCTTAGGATTTACATTTAACTCCAACATTGGCAGAAAGTCCAATATCTATCTGTCTGGTGAGGCCCGAGAAATTATGATCCTGCCAAAGAAAAATATGAAATCTTATGATCCACCCATTTTGGCTAGACTGATCAACAACGAAAAAATCCTTCTTGAATTAATGAAATTCTAAAAATGGAAAATTGTTGTATTCTAGTCTAAAACATAGAGAGGAAGCTTTGAAATTTTTGATACGACATTATAATAATCCAATTATATTTGTGCAGTGTACAGATTTATAAGTTGTCATCACAATTACGACAATTTTACAAATCTCATGCATTATCATAATGACAGGTATGACAGCAATCATGACTTATTGATACACAATTTTTATCTATCAAGATTTCATAGCCATGGTGGTTAAAAACAATTTTCTTTACTTGATAAGTACAAAAACCCCCCAGTATAAAATGTGATAAAGCAGAAATGTACAAACATTGTGATTATAAAATGAAAAAAGAACAAATTATTAAAACTATAAAATAAAATAAATAAACAGATTGGCAAGTATAAACACTTAGAGAGAAAAGACACAATTTGTTCCAAGGCAAATTAGAACTTTCAACAATAATAACATCTATAGATTAAATTTAGAAAAAGTAACAAAACTTATTAAACTAATTCGACTCATTTGGATAAGATTTAGAATGATTTCTTTAAAAAAATTTAGGCGTCATAATATTTGAAAAAAAAAAAAAAATTATAAAAACGAGACAAAAACTAAATGAAGAACCTTGCAGAGTGATATTAATCATGACCATGAGGGTTTAAGGTACCAAAGTCAACTATTACAGAATTGGTGCAAAATTTGCATTTTTCACATTACATGTTGAATGAGCATATCTTGGAGCTGTTAGTTGTACAATCAGTTCAGAAATTCAGGAGTCGATCAACACTTTCCCCTGACTGTGCTTTGTTGTGTTTTTTTAACAGAGTTTAATTATTGAAATTGATTTATTAATTAGGTAATAAATGAATTATATTTAGCCATCATTTTGTTCAATCATCAAGTGTTACTAATAACTTAAAAGAGGCGCAGAAATCAAATATTCTGACGCATTTTGGCAGTGAAAAGAAGTTATAGTCAAGAAAATGTTGACTGGCTCAGAATGTAGTATCATCCTAGACTAAAGAACCTCACAATATAAGTGCCTCTTCCTGCAGAAAAGCAACTTCATTCCATCAGGCAAACTCTCTAAGAAAGCAGTTTTGACCACTGAGCTGAGAAATCAGTCTTAGGTGTTTTTTTCTCTCTTTTTTTAATTTTTTTGAAAATGCTTAAATGGAAGAGCGATAAATAAACTGCAATTACTCTTAAACTGACAGACTTTGAAAAATGCATTTCCTTTGGACCATCTTGGACTGAGAGAAAAGGCACGTTGGTTCCTTCAAATCTGTATTTGAGAGCAGATATATTCAAATTTTTATGACACCAAGTTTTTATTTCCTTGTACCTAAACATTTTATACCCGAGATGAATAGATTTTGTTTTTTTAAAATAAAAAGCTGGTGTATTCAAGTTTTACACAAAATTTCTGAAAAAGACATACTTTTTTGTGGGTGATAAAATAAGAGGAGATGGGCGACTTTCAAGATCATTGTTATTTTCGAAACTTTTAGCCATTTAGTCTTAAAATTGGGTACCAAAGTTCTACAAACCTAACAATGGTTGTATATGGGTCAAAAATTGATAGACTGAAACACGTCACATCTTATTTTTTGGAGTAAAGGTATTTTTGTCTCCATTTGGATGTTTTGAGCGCAAAGGTATCTTTCCTGCTCTAAGAATACTTCACCTATTTTTTCATGGATACGCTCTTTTTGTTAAACTCTGATAATCATCAGAATTCCCTCTTGCACAATGCACATGTCATATCTCTTTGGAACTGTTACCTGTTTTAAGACTGTGCAAATGATTTTGGATGATAATTTATAGTAAACTTGATAAGAGTATACCAAGATTACAACTTCTCAACAAATCTAAGAGGAAAATGTTTTTCTAAATTGTTGTACAAATTAATTGGCACACATTATCCTATTCTTATCAATCCCTCGTGTGATGTAGGATTCTAATTTTTTAGTGTATTTTCTAAAGGAAGTACACTAATGCGTTTTCCTCCTTAAAATACTGAATAATATTGTCAAAAAACTGACTAAAATAGGTTCATCTTTTAACAGACAAGTCATGCTCATGTAGATCACCGAAGGTGACATTAAAGCCCTGCATAGCACAGATACTCTCACTACACAGGGAAAAATGTCTCTACATAATGCAGAGACATGACATTATCTTGAGTGATCTGTACAATCATGACTTGTGTCTCTTGATAAGTGCGTCTTGCCACCTCTATTCTTAGTAATTTTTTCATTCATTCACGGCTCATTCTTTGACCTTTAGACATAATTTCTGTGTAATTAGTGCTCACAACTTTGGACATCTAAATAGCCAGGTATCACACACGAAAATATGTATATTCGATGAAATAAAATCTGTAGGGATAACAATGCATACTGTGCTTATTTCTACTGAAAGAGAATCATGGGCACAGGAATTTACCACAACACTTTAAGTAACATTTAGAGGTAAGCATGGAAACATTTTGAAAGATTAAGAACAGTTTCTTTACATCAACATGCATCCTATTGAAATCATCAAATTTCAGTTGGACGAATGAATTTCGACTACACTTTCAAAGGATGTGTCCCATTAAGGAGGTTATTTTGGCCCTAACTTTAGTCGAAAATTGAAACAGCTTCGAATAATGTCATGTATGGTCCAATCGACTCCTAATCATCTACCTTGTGAGTACTTGTCCATATTTGAGGTGTTTTTGAAAGGTTTTTGCCTGATTTACCAGCACAAAATAGTGAAGTTTTGCAGTTTTTTCGAATAATAGTTCATTTTAGGTCCTAAATTAGATTGTTTATATATGAGCACAAGCGACTACCACTTTCTTCTTTGTACATGTTGTAATGGGTGTACTAAAGATTAACATATTCGAATATGAAAGAGGTGGTCGCTTGTGCTCATACATAAACAATCTAATTTAGGACCGAAAATGAGCAATTATTCAAGAAAACTGCAAAACTTCACTACTTTGCGCTGGTAAATCAGGCAAAAACCTTTCAAAAACACCTCAAATAAGGACAAGTTCTCACAGGGTAGATGATTAAGACTTGATTTGACCATACATGACATTATTCTAAGCTGTTTCGATTTTTGACCGAAATTAGGGCCCAATATCCTCCTTAATGGGACACATCCTTTAGGGGAATGAGGGAGGGGTCAAATTAAAAAGTGACTAGTAGCCATGATGAGACTGCACTCTAGTATTTTTTTTTTCCTGGAGGTTTAATGGCTTTGTGACTAGCACCTGCAGCCCACCACTTGAGTAATTGGAGTAATACCATTTTCAATTAAAACTTGGTCAATTAAGAAATTGTGGTCAGATGACTTTTGAAATGATGATGATAATATTTCTCGTGTTTTAAATAAATGATACGAATAAAAAATTTAATAGAGAAACCTTGCTTCACATGTTAATCAGGGAAAGTCTCTCGCCAAGTTTGATAGTTGGAACAGTGGGGTTTTTTCTTTAGAGCTGGGTAATTGGTGACCATTACAAATGGACTACATTTTGCAAAGGGGACAACTTTTCACCAAATACACAAAAACACAACCATTAAACATAATTTAGGACCCTCTTGCAAGCTTGAAATAAGTATGATACAGAAAACAACGGTACGTAATGGAACAAAAATAAAAAATACCGATTTTATGAATTCCCTGAATTTTTTGTAAAGTTATATGACTTTTTTCGTTTTCCAGTCAATTGGAGACCTTATAAAAGGAGACGTGAAAAGGAGGATCTAAAAATGATGATGCAAAGTATGCAAACACTTTTGCAATAGATACGTATCAAAATTATGGAAAAAAAAGGTTCTTTATAAAAAAAAAGGAGAAAGTAAAAAAAAACAGGGATAAGAGTCATACCTGTGAGTAATGCAATCTGGAGATAAAAAAGCAGACATTTCTCGAATGAACAACACAATTTGTTCCGGCCTTTGAATTGACAGCTGATAATATAAACTATGAGGTACAAAAGTTAAACCTGAAAAAAATCAAGCAAAAAAATGGTAAGTCAAACTGGAAAAAAAGAGGCAAGATGAATGATCTTATTTCCTAAATAGGGAGAAAATTGAATCGTACAACTCAAAATCAAGCCATCTCATTTTTTTAGTAAATGGTCTTTCTGGCCGATTCTGTTCAATGCCTATTATTTTAAGTTTCTGAAATCAACATAAAAGACATATTTAGTGCCTAGAATTGCTTTTGTGTTAGAGAAAAGCAATTATTACAGTTGCGCTTGACTGAAGTGTTCATAAAAGAATTGTAAAAAGAGGCGATGGCAAGTATTCGAACTTTACAATGCAATTACAGACTAGCAAAAATGTCCTGGGCACCAATAAAGTGAGTTTGATTGCCAAGATCAACGATTAAAAAATTTAAATTATTTTAGTTTCTAATTCATTCTAACGACAGTCCCATTTTACATACTCCTATTTCTCTAAAAAATTTCAAAATAAATCTAGTTTCTGTTAATGTGCTTGATAATTTATTTATGCACTAATAGGGAGTTAATCACTGAGCTTCTATTGAGTAAGTAAATTCAACATGACAGTGAGATACACAGAGAAGCTTTGATTTCTTCTGCCTCAATTGTTCTAATATTTTACATGATGGTAAAAAAAAGAGATTTGAGAATTTACTTAAAATATTTGGTACATTCATTACAGAAATTTTTTTATTGAAGATCGCATCAGTGAAGAAAAAAGACTTCCGCTTATCAATAGATTCAATTGACTTCAGGCGCGGAAAAATGATGAAAGGTTTATACTCAAAAATATGCTTTTTGATTTTATACAGGTTTTCATCACCACAAAAACGATGTCATTATTGTATCAATGAGATATAATATTTTCCTGAGTTTAGATTAAGTAAAAGTTGAGAATTGGTTGTACAAGTAAGGACATAGACATATTACAAAAGACTAATAAAAAATCAAAACTTACCGATTAAAAAAATAAAAATTGAAAAATATCCATTGAGAGTAGCTTTGTCATTCAGTCATTGGGATCATGTCCGAATTGCAAACACTATCTTTAGCATTAATTATGCTAACATTTTGATTAGTTTTGTCATTTTCAAACTCCACAAAATCATCAAATATACTTGGCCAGGCTTCTGTATCATCGTAAGTGGATAGATCATTTCCGATTGATTCAGCAAAGTTGAGAAACATGTTCCATGTGTCACGCGGAATGCCTCGTATGTGTGGATGACACTCTAAAAATGTCAACCATCTGGATAAAATAGGCGGTTCTCTCACTGTGAAAACTAACTTCCACAAACAAATTGCCATGTCAGAGGGTAATATTCGCTGATTTGCGTCAAGACCAAACTTAAACGTGAACCTGTATAAACTCTTAAACTGCTCAGCATCTTGAGCAAGAATATTAACTATTTCAGGTAGCTTGACTTGTATGCCGCGGATTGAGTCTGTATGTAAGGACTTCAGACCATTTACAAATTCTTCCCGGGTAAACCTGCACATTTGTTGCGCATCGAGTTTCCATGCAAGAACTAACACCTTGAACTCATCAGGGGACAAATGCAGATCAGAACACAGCCGCTCTATACCCTCGGTAAGAATTTGCTCTTCTGCTGGATCTCGATATGAGTCAAATAGGTTATTTATCTTGGCTTCAGAGACAGTTTTCTCTTTTTTAAGTCCATCGTTGCTCAGTGTGTTATTCCTTGATATCACTGGGATTCGTGGATAAAAGGTGGAGCGGATGGAACCCGAAGGAAATTTGTCTCGCTGAAAATGAAAGTTATCATTAGAGGCTGCCATCCCTCCGTTGTTGATCATGCAGCTGTGGCCGTTGCTTTGCGTGTCGACAGCTATCAAAGAGCTTTCAGAATAAGTCACCACATTATTTATACACGCGTCTGCAACTTCTGAAACATATCAAAATGGACAACCACATTATTTAGATGTAAAATGCTAAAAAAATTTAGAGTGTCGATCTCTTACACGAAAACAACTTTAAAAGTTGGATTACATTTGAGAAAAGCTGTTAATCAAGTTCAGAATACATATAGAAGACTTATTCACCGATGGAAGAAAACCAATAAAAAAGAAACGGAGCCTCCAATTTTAGGGATGTAATTTTTAAACGTTCTTCACAGAGAATGTTTTGTCAATATGAGCAATTGCATGATAACACTTGGGAAGCATTGGCCGTAGAGGTGAAAAGAATATTTCTTGAGAGGTCATCATCTTTGAAGTTTATACTATTTTCATTGGATACCCATCAACCACTGAGTGTTAACAGGGTTTGGAGAACTTTGTCCTTCCCAACATATAAGAAATTTTGTGAAATTCTTCAAATTTTTCTAATTCAAATATTTGCAAAAATGTTGGAAACTTGGAGCAAAATTACTTGTCAGACTTTTGTAAAAAAGGCTGAGGCTCCAAAGTTGTTTCTGCTTTTTTTAAATGTAACACACCATCTCACACTTATTAATCTTTCAAGAATCAAGTGGTGTATTTGTAACAGTAAAAAATTTGGTTTTCATAACTAAGCTGGCACGGACCTCAAAATTCTTTTAATCGGAAAATAGCTAAAATATGTCCTTTCATGGAAGACCAAATAAAATCACAAGGGCAGTTCTAGAATGTCTGAATGATATGCAGAGAAACCTGATCATGACTTATGATAGAGCTTTGCCTTGGTGGTGAAATAATCTCATAGCCCCAAGGAAGAGTTGCTTTCCTTCATGCTTTGTAAATTTTCATGAAATTTTTACAATTTTTTCACTGCTGTCTATTGTTTTGGGTAACCTGGCAATTACAGAGATGGCTTTAGTTCCTCTCCTCCTCCCCAAAAAAATAAAGGAATTGAATACCAACCTTCATTAATCTTTTCGAGAGGGTCACTTTCTACAATTTCAGATTGAGCCGGTTGAGGTTGAGATGTGACACACGAGAAACACTTGCCCATTGGTTGACCAGCCTAGACTAGTTGTTCCAGCGTAACCAAACATTAGTCAGCTCCGCTTAAAAACCACTGAAAGAGAGAAGAGTACGAGTCAACTTAATAGAAGAAAAATAATAGTCATCGGAAAATTTGAGGATGGCTTTAGGATGTAGTACGATAGGATGGCTGGAGGATTTTTGATCGAAACAACATGCTATTTATTGTAAGACCAGTAGACAATTAGAAACAGGGCACTATAGAATCACCTTGAAGAGGGTTTGTACCATGTATCATGAAAATAATTTGGCAGAATTGTTACCACCAGAATACAATGGGGTTCACAATCCCTACAGTCAAGTAATAAGGTGCCCATGACACATAACCTAAAAGAAAATAGACAATACACCGGGAAAGTTCAGAATTCCAGACTTCATAAAGAATTATTTATACTGATGGAAATGTTTCGTGAAACTTGTCATTAGGCTAACGGCAAACTATCTCCGTTGAATATCATTACAGCTTGTAAAATCCCAAATCCAAACTTACTTGTTCAAATTGCTCTTTAAAATATGTTTGGAGGTGACAGTTTGTAAATATTGATAAGGGAGTTTCCTCAACAGAGAAAATTGTTTTTTAATTTGTTTCACCGTCCATGATATTTCAAGTCAAAAGGGGATAAAACCATTCCGGTGGGTCAATATTTAGCTAAATGAGCATACTAGCATATGGAAGAAGAACAAGCAGACACAGCTGTGTTACCTTTCAGAATCGCAATAAGTAGGTGGCACAATTTTTCAGACAGTCATAAAATGATCACCACCATTAACTGGGTTAAAATTAATAAGATAATTCTTCTTTCTACTTGAAAAAAGTTATCACGTGTATGAAAGGTTAGCTCCGATAGAAAAGTTATAGCAGATTTCTCACAAAAGCTAACCATGTAAGAGCCAGCACTTCATAGAAATAGGCAACTCAGAAAGAATGGGCTAAAAATGATAGGAATACTAAATAACTCACCAAATGGCAATAATATATCAGGATATAAATGCACCGATTGTTGATTTGATAACAGGCACGTGTTATCTTAAGGAAACACCACAAGCCCGTGTGTTGTCAACACTCAAGATTCTGACGTTCTGCGTCTTAGATAGAATGAGTGCAAAATGAGAAGATAAACATAGTTATAAGCACATAAATTTAGAAGCATGGATAGTTAAAGATTGAAAACTGAAAGAGGATTGCATTGGACTGATAAGTTTTCAGGGAACAGGAACAATGCGATTGTACAGTATCTCCGGATTACAATACTTCCTTCTAAGATCTAGATGAAAGAAGCAAGACAGTGATTTTTGTCGGGTAATCAAAAACTATGAGACAAGGGGTGATTTCTCAAATGTATCCATGAGTCCGTCAATAAAAGTAGTTTATGAAAGCTTACAAATTTTCAGTCCTAAGTTGATTCCTGCTTCACATTTTTATAAGAAGTCACGCCTGCCACGATGTGATACGACAATTGAAGAATTTAAATGTGGGGGTAAATATTGGCAAGGATAGGAAACTCCCGAGATCATTACAACACCAAAATCTAATACTTCTAAATCACAAAGTAAATAGAAAATTGAGGAAAAGTCGCGGAAATAGCAAGCGAAAAGTTGCAAGTTTCAAGTCGAACTTTTTTTATTATGATGTCACGCGAACGCAAGTCAAAGATGATCACGTAAACAAGTCGGTCATTTTGAGTTCACGAATGACGTTTCCAATGCTCATGCTGGGCATTGGATGTTCTCCCAGTAAAGTGTAAAGTCTCCAAATACGTACTTCACTTCAAATTAATTTTTTTAAATTATAAGGGTTCGAAAAAATGAATGATCATTTAGGTATTCCTTTGTAACCACCACAGTCCTTTTCTTTGATTATTGTCCCAGTTTGATTTTTGTTGCCATCTTGAAGTTTTGTGACGTCAAGCGGGTACCACTTTTGCCAGGCGACTACCGAATCTGTAGCGCGCATTTCAAATCTTCGCCTGCTCTCAACAAGATTAGAACAAGATGAGGACGAGAAGCATTGTTTGATAAGTGAGATGACGATGAGATATAAATTAGATATAAATGATCCGTCACATTCCTTCCTAGAAATGTGCCTGTTCCAGCTGAATTTAGTTTTTTATTTCTGAATGATGAAAGAATCTCAAAGGATCGAAATATGACTAATTACTAGCTCTGTAGCTTGCAAGATAACGCCCTTACCTGAGTTATGAATTTTTCCAGTATCGTTGAAATATAAGTAGAGTACCTAGTAGCGGCACCCAGTGTCCCACCTAGTGTCCCAGTGTCATACCTATCTGATGTACCTAGGTAATTCTCATCCAAATAAGAGAAGAATAAATATTTACCTTCATTAACACCAAGTAGACGAAAGTTCCACTGTGAACTTAGTTGGCCAATAAAAATGCAAACAATGAAGCAATTATTTTTATTTCCTGACTCCAAATGGTAAGAATTATGGTAAGAACTCTAAGGCATAGTAAAAAGTGTATTTATCATTCCTCAATAAATACAAGGTTGACTGTTTGCATGGAAATGATAGTACATTAGTTGGCGGCTTATCTATTATTCTAAACTTTAGATTAAGTTGATGAAGGTAGCAGGTTGTTGTCAGCAAGAGCTGTTGATATGAGTATGTAGTTTAGAATGGTCAATTTTTAATTCTGCCAGAGGAGCATCATTAGTATTTAATACAAAACTCTCAGGGGTCTCTGGATACTATGCCACCTCTTATCAAGAATGTTTATGCTAATTTTGTTGCTATGTGGTGATGGGAGAGATAATTTCAAGATTATTTTGGTAAAAGTCGGACAAATATGAGGATGCCAAGTTTATAAGAAAATCTCACAAACCAAAGTGAACATTGTTTCATGCCTCTGCAATTTTCAGCTTCGGGCTAGGTTCTCGCAAGAAGGTCAGCACAACGCGCTGATCAAACTTTTGTGGAATTTCTTGTTAATTTTAGAATGTGTGCCAAAGTCACAGTAAGTATTCCACAAAAATTGCAAATCTGAAAAATCTAGAAAAATAACAAGTACCTCTCAGCCTCCGCGCAATTCGCACCCCTGCTAATAAATGTTGGAGAATAGAGAACACTTTACCCTCAAAACATTACTCGCACTGATTTTAAACTAATATGTAATTATATGTGTACGATGGTGGATCTGAGCTGTACTTACTTACCAAACTTTGTTGAGCGAAGTTGTTACTTAGGGGAAATTCATTAACTGCTGCCAAGGATTCACAAACTCTGACCTTGATAAATATTTCCGACATACTTGAGATACAGTCAGATGTTAGGAATTCTGGACATTCAGTTATTGTTCACATACAAAAGAAATTGACTAACAAATACAACCGTTTTATATTTACATAACTGCTCAACAGAACATACCGACAGTTGTGATTAATTTCTCGACAGCACTCTGATAGCGGTAGGATAGCTAAAGGATCCCTACCCTGCGGCAAAAATGGAGTTGATTGAAATTTTGATTCACATGGTGCTAATGCTGTCAAGACTCAAGACAAAATTACACTCCACGCACAGTCAAAAAGTATTTTGATAAGTAAGATTATCCATTAAGGAAGTTGCACAAATCACAAATCAAACCGAAGGACACGGACAAACCAAGGAGCCAGCCATAGCCAGCTCAGAAACTCGGCAATTCAGTTTCTCTCACTGCAAAAGGTGGAACCATCCAAAGTACCATCAATGTTAAGTTGAAGGGGTGAATTACTTATTTAAAGAGTGCTAAGTCATTTTGGGACTTTTTCGAAGAGATTTAAAGGAAAAAATTGGAAAATGCTCAACTATAAAATGAACGTAAACAATCCGCCATTGTATCAAAGCTGACGCACAAATGAAACAAGCGCTAAACACAAGGGTAAAAAGTACATACGTAAATTGATTTTGTTTTATAAGGAAAATGGTGAAAAAGTTAGGAAATTCATATTGGAAATTGAAGCTTTAAGATATAAAGAACTTCAGATAATTAATACAGTTTATTTAGAAACGGAGTTAAAGAAGGCAAAGTTAAGGAAACTCAGAAGGAACAGGGTATTTTGTAGGAAAGGGTTGGTAGGTTTAGAATTGAATCGACGTATCGATGTATCGAACAGCGACTATCGGTAGTCTCGAAAAACCCCTGTAAAATACACACTAATACGATAAGCGGTTACATCAGATCTTATGGGAGCGCACTCACACATACAAAAAATCGCTCTTTCAAGCGATTTTTTACAAGAGAACAGAGGAAAATCTCACTAGCGATCGAGATTTTTCGAGATTTTACATTGATTAAACGGCCCAGGGTGAAAGGAAAGTTCTCTCCAGTTGATCACTGGGAGAACAACACCAAAACACCTAATTTTCGAAAATGTAATCTTTGACAAAAAGAAAATCATAACAAGGTTCTAACCTCAAAACTTCAATTTCAAAAGTTCAGTGCCCCCGAAACTTCCCAAAATGCTCCCCAATAATCAAACGTCCACTTCCACTACAATTTACTCTTATTTTCTTCACCATTAATTATTATATAGGCGTTACAACAGTTTGTATTGTGCAAATAATTAAACGGGACGTGATTATAGCCCCAAGAAACTAGTGTAATAGATAAAGATTCCAAGCAAACCTTTGACATTCCTGTTTAACGATTTACCTTGTGTGAAGATGGAACCCGCAAAAAATCCCATCCAAGATGATATGAGTACCATCCCTCTAGCAGATGATGATCCGCAAGGTGAGCTTATAATTAATTACTCTGGCTTGATTAGATTTGTAATGTTGAGCTTATCTTGTATTCTAGACGGAAGACACTTTTTTGAAGAGGACTTGCCACTATCGCCTTCTTTATACAATTCCACCCAATATTAATGGAATAGAACTCCACGTACCATACATATCTAGCAGGGAAACTGCAGTGTGCTCAAACTGTTCATGTACCGTTGACGATCAAAGGATGGGGGCACAAGTATACTAATCTCTAATTTTTTTTTTTTTTTTTTTTTTTTTTTTTTTTGCTGGTTTAGTGGCTTATATTCCGTTGGAACCTACAGCCATCGATAGACAGTATTTATTGTCCTAACCTCTAATTTCATTTCCCTTCATGTTTTACATGCGAGTTACGTACATGAAAATTTGCACCTTAAAATCTTACCAGATTCCAGAGTGTCCAGCATTTTCTATCATGCCAGGTTAAGAAATTTAATGTGGATCCATGCCTACTGAGAACTCATATGCAATTGGAGGGAAGGGGGTGTCTGTTTGATCCGTTGATGCCCTGCAGATACTGCAGATTCCATATGCAAGAACAGATGTAATGGGTAATCTCATTTGAAACAGGCTGTAACTTAGTTCTTACATTCCCCGTATGCCTTGAACACCTGCATAATTTACCCTTCTTTGTGTCATTATTGTTTCAGTCATTATTGAAGACAATGAATCTACTGAAATGTCACAAACTTCAGATGCCATCTTGCGTGGAAGGAGTATGGACTCAATACCATCGACTTTCACAAATGGAAGTAGTAGCCCAAGTCATAATAGTAAGTATTCTTTAACGTATTATTGATCATCATTGCTGTATCCTCACATCATAAAAACTTACTACGAAGGGGTCCTCGGTTTCATCAATAATTGAGGACACCGCACCAAGAACAGCCTATAGACGTATAGGTCGTTATTACGCCCATCTGCTTTTTGGATTCTACTTACCCTGGACTATGCTGTGGTAGCGATAGAATATAGATTGGTAACGGCTCGAGGTCGAAAAACCTTTTTTTTCCGAGTTAAGTCAGGCCTCTGGATCGATGGGTGCAAGAACGACCTATAAACGGGCCTATAAACTTAAGGGCCTAAGGTGCTAGTTACCCCTCTTTACTTACCCTGGACTATGCTGTGGTAGCGATAGAATATAGTTAGGTAACAGCTCGAGGTCGAAAAACTTTTTTTTTCCGAGTTAAGTCTGGCCTCTGGATCGATGGGTGCAAGAACGACCTATAAACGGGCCTACAAAACTTAAGGGCCTAAGGTGCTAGTTACCCCTTTCTCTACTCACTATTGATATATTCTTTCATTTTGCGTTAATCCTGCATGATTAAAATGATTTATACTTCATTTTGCCAGCAAAATGACTGTTGGGCGTAATAATGGCCGATAAACCGTTTTTTTAAATTAAATATATTAGAGTGTAAACCCAAAATGTATCGCAAAATCTACCCAGCATCCTTCAATAGAAGGGTTAGGTCACCCAAAAACACCAAAACAGGGTACCTGCATAAAAAAGTCTGCGCAATACATCAAAAACAAAACTTTAAATACGTTTTTCTCAAAACGCGGTTTCCAGTTATAGGCTGTTCTTGGTGCGGTGTCCTCAATTGAGGACTTAATCGGTAAAAGAGCATATATGCACTGGGCATTGGGAGAATGTATTTTCTGAATCCTTGCACAATACTAAGTCCAATGAATGTATTGTTTATGCATGTGTTTGCAGAATAGGGATCATAGATAGAGTTAGGAATACTGATCTTGCGGCGTTTCTGTGTATAAGAGGCATTGTATTACTGCACTGCATCGCTGCATTGGACATCTCCACACCTATATCATCCATAAAGCCATGCTTAGTGGATGATGATTTCAATTTCTCCTACTTGCATGATTAAAATAAGAAATAAGACGTGTTTTCATTATTCCACCCCTTTCACTCACAATCTTTGTTGAAAGAGAAACAGCATAAATGATAAGAAACAAATACTTCATCTCAGCACAAGAAAGTCATGAGAGAAGAATGCATGTGATAAGGTCATTTAAGTCTTTTAGGAAATCTGTTTTACTCAGGATGTCTATCCAGCATCTTTGCTATATTGCACCGAGGTTCTTTTTTATTCCCCTGATATTTCTAGGTCTAGATCCAGACATCAGTCCAGATGAGCAAGAGGAAAAAGCACGATTGATCTCTCAAGTCCTTGAACTACAGAACACTTTAGATGGTAAGTTTGACCCTCAGCCATAATCTCGTAGAAACCCGAAAAAATCTCCTAGGTATTGGCAACGGCTACAGCTCAAATACTTCATCTGATTGTCAACTTTGACCACCTAGAGTGAAATTTTTGAAATTGACAGTGCAATTCCCAAACCATGTATCTCAATTTTTGCTTCAAAATCTCCTCTACAATTTCATTCTTTTAATAGGAAACAATTCAACAATACGTCTTAGACTTTTCACAGAATAATCCTCACACAAATAAGGAAACTTTTGGAAGTTGTAAAGGGGTGACATCGAATAGTTTTACACTAAAATCATGTAGTACGAAAGTAAGTCTGCAACACCACAAACTGACGCACAAGGTCTAGTAATTTCATTATATAAATGTACTCTGAATCTCTGAAATTGGAGGTGTTTGAAGTCATAATGTGCAACATTTGTTATGCTGTCAGCAGTCGTCAACAAGAAAATTGAAGAGTCATCGGTGGTATTGCACTATTTGTCACTAAGTTCACTGGCTCTTTACCACTAAAAAAAGTGATAAAAAGCTCCCTTCATTGACTCCAATTTGAACTCGAGGAATAAGTCACTAATCATTGCTTTCTTGTGAAAGGCATGCTAATTAGTTAAATAGCTCTTGTTAGTCCAGCCAAAGTCTGATTTTAAGGGTGCCTGCAATTGTAACTTTGACATTACAAAAATGCAAACTGCATTTGCTGTTATCCAAAATCTCTATTCCAATTTTATTTGATTGGAAGAGAATAAATTAATATCATTGCTTGAAATTTTCTTTACACTGGATCAAAAAATGAGGGAAGTTTTCAAGAAATTATGTCAAGTGTTAAAAAAATAAATGTTGATAGGAAGTCCTCATCATCGCAAACCAAGATACCAGTTTTTGCAATTTCACGCCAATTTGCTCCTACATTATTCTGATCAGGGAGAATTGGTCCATGAAGAACTGAAAGTTCCAAAGTGAGCTTACATCACTGAGCTTTGCTTTCTCAAAAGTATCATTGGAAAAAAATCTCTCAATTTTGTCTTAGCTATCTGGAAAAAAAAACACCTGATGGAAAGGTTCATAATGTTCGCAGGGATTTTTTGCCGTATCATGTCTTTTTATGACAAGCTGATTATAAGCAGACAACATTTTTTCAATTTATGTTGATTGTTTTTAACTGCTGTTCCATCATAAGTATTATGTACATTTACTGTGCTTCTATCATTGTCTAATATTATACATTTTAATTGTTTCAGATTTATCTCAAAGAGTAGACACAATTAAAGAGGAAAACTTAAAATTAAGATCTGAGAATCAAGTCCTTGGTCAATACATCGAAAACTTGATGGCTGCCTCAAGCGTTTTCCAATCTACCTCACCAAAAATTAAAAAGAAATGAAACTGTCGCCAAACTCACCGTGTTATTTTATTCCACATTTCAATTTTTCTTGTAATTTAACTGTCAGAGGTATAACTACCTTTTGTGCTGCTTATGACAACTTTTCAGTCTACCTGAACAGCAGAAAAACAAATATTTTATTATTTGCAATTTTTTTCTATGTATTCTAGTTCCTCACTCATGACCCAAAGAGACGTCAATCATTGCAAAATGCAGTAGTGTACATGTTTTCTTAGTCGTATTGTAAACATTTTATATTTTATTATCATTATTTACTTATCTGAATTTTAATTCTATGATGTTCCATTTTTATTACGGAAAAACTATAAAATATTTCAAGTCAAACTTGATGAGCATGATCTTGCATGAGGCATTTTAACAAAATCAGCTAATTCAGTGTATAATGCAACAAATGAAAAACTAATAAATTTCTGTACAGCTCATTCTATGGAACAAGGGAAAAATTAGATATGGAGCTGCGGAGATTTAGGAAGAATATTTGGAAAATCTCAACCTGTTTGAAGATAGCATTTATTAGTTTGGAGATTTTCTGTTGGCTCCCAAATTACTTTTTTGCCACATCGCAAAAGACTAGGTGTTGCAAACATATTCTAAAATTTGCCTAATGCTGCTCAGTTGTATGACCTTCTATGTTATTGACCTGGAACACTCATTTCATCTCTCTATTTTTTCTGAGGAATCAATACCAATTACAGGGAATATCACTTTAGAATAAGAAAGTAGTCGCAGAGCTACACAACCAGACTAACAATAAGTGCATAGCATTTTCTTTTTTGCACGGATATCACCATTAATTTCACTAAAATTATCATTTCATAAAGGTCACAGGAGAGTGGCGATACATAATTTTGCAACCAACTCACCTAATTTAGAAGTTTGCTTACAAAATTTATAACTGTCATTTTGAAATTTGGTTACCTTGAGTTTCCATTGCTGTTCCTACAATTCTTTGTTTTTAATTTTAGATATCCAGAACACCTAGTTTGACACCTGAACTGAAAAACAAAGATCGTTAAATTTTTTGTAACTTTGAGTCAAAGCTAAGAATTTTCTTTTCTTTCCCCTCCCTGTATATTAATGTTACTACATATGAGGCTGAATTATTAATAATATTGGCTGCCCATGCCTAACGCTATCTTAGATTCTTTTTTCCAACTAGTATTGAAGAAAAATACTAGTGCTTGTGTCTTATCACATCATACCAATTCACTTTCATCCAGAGATAAGGATTAAAAAAAATCAGTATGGAAAAAATGACGCAGTCTGTAGTTTTGTAGGTTCCATGTATAGGAGAAAGGAAAGAAATCAATACCCATGGAAAAGCTGATGCAAACCCTGGTCCTAGCACATTGAAGTACAAAAGCATACAATGAAAACGATCTGTAATAATGTTCACTACATACTAAAGCAACTCTTCTGACATACTCTCCTCTCAGACATAGCTTCAAGGCTTAGCATTATTTGAAGCTCAACAGAAGTCTCCTCTGCCTTGGGCGCATTCTGGGGTTAGAGCAGCAAAAATTCACAATGGAGATAAGACCCATTTCATTGTAGTAGTGTCTATGGTGTGCTTTGTTCTTTTCCTTATTGTGATCGACTATTTCAATGTATACACATGTATTTTAATGTTTAGTTCATTCTGTGCGCTTTCTGTTGTAAGTGCATTTTGTTTTTACCTCTTCACTTTCATTTACTGTCGTAGTATGTTTAAGTTTTGCCTATTCTATCTTCCTGAAGGAACTGAAGCCATTAAAATATTATTATACACACAGCAAATAACTAAGTCTCTTGGTTTTTACTTGTTTATTCCATTGCCATCATTCACACCTGTAAGATATAGGAGTTCCCTAGTTTCAAAAGGATACATCTGATCGTACTCGAGAAAAAGGATCCTGGTATAGAGGAAATCCAATTCCAGTACTAAGGACAAGTTAATTGTCCTTTGCATTTAAGACGCTGTTAAATATGGATAAGTCAATTCAAATTTACTTATTTGGCAATCAAAATGGGCACCTTGCATTTTATCTCCTCTGAATTTAAAAAAAAGGTTATTTTTGTGCTTAACTTTCAGTACTCCTAGAAAAAAGAGCAAAAAGAAGGGGTAGGGAGATCATAACTTCTCAAACTTGCCCCCTAGCCCCAATAATTTTGCCGCCCCTTAAAACTTGCCATTAAGTCTGTGGCCCATGTCTCCCGAACCTGAATCTACCCCTGCAACTGCGCATCATGTAAGGCCCCACTATGTCGAGGAAATGATACTTTAGATAAGCACTTTCTGTCGGTATGAGGATCTGAACTTGACTCTAATAGATTCATGGCAGAGTGAGAGCATGTCGCTATCTTGTAGGGGATCTCAAATTGCTAATCGCCTTTCTTTTCTAGTTTATTGGGTGTGCACAGCGAATCTTAATTTCGTACTGACAGGACAATTTTGGCACCAAAAATTTCAAACCAATTTGCGGTTGAAAGTTTGAAATTACAAAAAATTTATTTTAGTTTAAATATTGATTAAAGTTTGAATCGCCATGTTTGAGATTCAAAATTGTTGAAGTAAAAGCAAATTTACGCCCTCTATTGGAGAAGGAACAAACAGACTGTTCGCAACTTATTCTCTGGTGCAACAGCAAGTACTCCCTATTAAGGACTCAATTTCTGATTTTTCGATCTAACCTAGTAGTTTGGCTCTCTTGAAAAATTGTCTGCTATGCTCTACAATCCCTTTTCCTGTGGATGGTCATGAAAATAATGGAACCGTTGGATTTGAGGAAATTTTTGGTACAACAAAGAAATTAGACAAATAAATGTGAGATACGTTTTACTTCGAAGAGTTTGGAATTTTCATAGTTTTCAGTTAAGGCACGATAAAGGTACAAAATCGGTAGTCCAAAGTGGGGACCACAATGCAGCTGTAATACTTTAACATAGCACAGATGTTTTTTGACATATACTGATCTCCATTGATGGAAATCCTTTTTTTTTGATACATGACTAAGATTAGAATTTTTTTAAACATTAAAAAATTGCTTGATTTCGACATGGGTACTGACAGTGTTTTGCACCATTTCCCAGTCAGTCATTTTTGCAAGGTTTTCATTCCTGCAAAGGACTCACGGATTCCTCTTCTTTCCGTACTGAATTGATGTAAATTTCCTTCTCAAAAGTCACCAATTCAAGGCCACATCCGTACACGCAAACTGTATACTTAAACCTGGTAATAGAGAAAACAAAACAATTGGTTGATACATCTTTTGGAACATCGATTGATCAATATTACAGCTTTTGGACCAAAATGGGCAACAATTTAGAAGCAGCAATTTTTTTTTGCTTTCATTGTGGTACCATCATTTTTAAACTTACAGATCTCAAATTCTGCTGAGAAGTTAAGAGCTTCAATTATTATGGGCTGTTTATGCACCAAGTCAGACACTTTTCCACGTTTTTGATCCCTTCATTGGCTGTTGGCTTCATTGCCTTATGAAGAAAAAAACTCAATAAGTGCAAAATTTGAGTACTTGGTTTATCACAAAGCATTTTGCATTAAAACGTTTGAGACACGAATCTTTGCAATTTATCACACTGTATTTGAAACATAAGAGTTAAAAAAAAAAAAAAAAAAAAAAAAAAAAAAAAAAAAAAAAATTATGAAAGTTAGTTACTCACGGGTCTAAGAAACTCAATCCATGAATATCTGCTATGAATGATTGATACTCAGCTACATACTGTAGAGATAAATTTGTCCCATAAGTGTAAGCCCAAAGTATAATTCGCTGATCTGTTGAGGTAGTAAAAATCCAAGGATTGTCACGACAGAATAATATGCCTAAAAGAAAGCACAAACCACAGTAGCTCATTAACACACTTCCTTTGAACCGAGTAAGGACGTTAAAAAATTAACAGTGAACATCAAATAATCAATTGGAAGACTTTTCAAAGACTTAGCGTTATTCAAACGACAATTTCAAGATGAAAAAATTCCAGATTTAACATTGAATGTGCAAAAAACCCTTTCCTTGCTTGCATCATACTAATGGAGATGGTAGTTTTATTCTGTAAATGAAGCAAAAAACAAAAATTGTCGCAACAAAATTTAGCCTGAGTTCCTGGAGAACAAAATCAGTATATTCAATTATGTACTCCCTTTTGAAAAGAAAATCGGTGTAGTTAGAGTGAATTTAACAAAAATCTCACAGAGGAAGAAATAATTGGAGAACATTTCAATTAACTTTTTTTTTAATTTGTTCATTTCTTAGAATTTTATTATTATACAACTCAAAAAAAGTTAATAATTTTTTTAGGTGGGGCACCCCAAAATAAGAAAATGTACTGCGAAGAGATGCCATTTCCTTTAGACCAGAGTAACTGTTTTCAGAAACATTAGAGGAAATTTTATATCCAGTCTGACACATAGGTACAAAGTGACTGTTATGATCATTAGCATCAGCCAGCTGATAAATCAACTCACTACTAACCTGAGACTTGTGCTTCATGAGCACAATCAAACGTAAATTGTTTCACCAGGCGTTTTTCATCCAGCAGAAAATAGCTTAAAGTAATGGCAGTGTCATCTCCACCAGTTGCCAGAATAAAAGCCTCACCAAGTGGTTGCAAGTCATGACTATTGATTCCTGACTGATGAGCGTCGAAGGTAAATAGAGGAGTTGCTGGGCTCTGGATGGTGTAGCCACAAGAAAGTTTGTCCATACTAGAACTCTTGGCCACGATTTCCCACACAGCAACAACGCCTTCAGTGGTCATGGTCAACATTAAAAATCGAAATACTTTTTTTTGATCATCTTTGTTGATTTGTTTTATGCGAATCCCCAATATACAAGCCTCATGATAGTATATTTCCGCTACCACCGAAATCTTCCTTGAATCGTCACTAAAATGAAATATCCTGCAAATATTGAAGTGATTAGCGATATCAATTCATTGAAATAAAACTGAGACGAATTCTATCCACTATATCACCTTTTTAAAGTCTTTAGATTCATTCGACTGTAACTTCTAAAGATCATATATAGTTGAAAAACTTCTTCCATAAGAGTGAGAAAAAATGGTTCCAAAATAAGGGGAAAAAACAGGAGAGGGGGATGGCTTAAATTGTTTTTAAAATTAGGCAGGACTGATCTATCTGCAAAGAAGGTTATACAACTTATACGTAGGGCTGTTCTATTGGTTGTCGGTAAGCTACCAAAACAGTTCGGTCGAGAAGAAGTTACGATAAGAGCGCTCTTACCGATAGCGATCTGAGTTTTCGGAGCTGACAAAAATAAGCTGTTGCCATTTGTACACCTATTTTACGCGCCGCAGCGCCAGGCAATCTGACAAACCAACACAGGGGGCAACAATGCATTGAGTGCGAGCTCTCAAAACTTCGATAAGGCCGGCTGCTAACGACATCATCATCACAGTCGGTACTGCCACCAGTTTCGGTAAGAGACGATACCGATAGCGTTCCCGCAAGAATTCGTTTGAACACCCCTACTTATACAGGGTCCAGTAGAATGCTTTGGTACATGCTTGTTCTGACTCTTAGTACAAAAATTTACTCTGTTATCTTGTTACTACATTCCCAAAATGGATGCATTTTGACATTTGTATTTAATTGCAATAAAAATGTGAGACATACCTGATGACGCCATCTGAGCAGGCTGTAAAAATGAAAACAGCTCTTCGAGATAAGCAAACTACATCCACCGCCATGTATCTTGCTTCTGGTTCACCTGAATCTTGTTTCTCAGTTCTTCTAGATCTATCGTCACCTCTTAACATATGAGATGCCAGCTCAACCATTTTCTTGACTGAAATTTTTTAAAAACCAAACAGAAAAAGAAAAAATTCAATATAGTTGAGATTGAGTGACTTCTCAAGTAGATGGTAAACACATCCCTATTCCAGATTTTTGGATAGCCACAAGGTGTTTAAGATTTGGCAGTCGATATGCCATTGTAATGTGAGCCTATGTACAGGCAAGGTTTCCCAATTTTATACCTCAAAAAGTATGATAGAAGTAGCAAACTCATACAAAAGGTGTCTACACACCCTTGTAACTACAATCTGCCCACTTTAGGACAGTTCAATGGTAACAGGTGGAACAGGCCCTAAATTTCAATCAAAATCTTCGAGGGGATATTCAAATGATGTTGCCTCAAAAAATTCACACACAAAGAAGTTAGTAAATAGCTGGTCTCAAATGGATCACAATTAGTAAAAGGGAACTAATGCGATTGCATTGTTGTAAAAATCAGGCAAATTCACTTTTATTTAAAGAAAACGCATAAAATATGAAACACTTTCTTTTTCCCTTCACCTACAGAAAAGTGGTTAAATTTTAAAGGCAAACCATTCTGTAAATTGAATCACAGTATATATAATTAGTATTTTTTAAGGCAAAGAAAAAGTCGTACGATTTTAATAACGCTACTATCACAAACAACACTAAATAACAGGTGGAACAGGCTCTAAGTTTTTATTGGCTCCCTTCTGCTAAATGCAATCCAAATATGTAATGTAATTTTCTTGTCTAAACTGATTATTGAGTCTCATAATACGATAGATTAAAAGAATGGAAAAGTGGGGGAAAAAGCAAAACCCCATCATTAGGAATGTCATACTTTTTGATGCAGCCATAGTCAAACTCCAAACTTTGATTTGAGCTCGTCCACCAGCAGACACGATCAAATACTCAATGTTGCCAGATGAAAAAGTTGTTGAATCCTCTGAATGTTGATCATTCGAAGTTTCTTCCCGTCCCCATGAGATAGATGCCAAGGCTCTGATGCTGGAAACATGACTGCGGACCACACACTGATCAAAGAAATTTGACTGTGAATCTAAGTTCAACGAGGTTATAGAAGATATTCTCAAAGTGGTATCTTCACTTCCAGTGAGGAGGATATCAAAGTGCTCTCCATCTTCTGAAATTGTTTTGCAAACAGTGAGTGAGTTTATTTCCTTGCAGTGAAATCCTTCCTGAAAAAAATACAACAACAGATCCTTTCAATACATAACAATCAACAAATTGGTGACCTTTCAAAAGAGTGTGATGGCAGATGAATTGTGAACATTCTCTGTGTTTTCAGTTTTTGGATCACCCTTGAATTTAGGATCAAAACAAGAGACATCTTAATAAATGATTTTGTTTGTTGTTAAAATGTTTGCACGGCCAATCAGCCATCGGCCAGTCAGCTAATTGTATTTTGGCTCCTTCATTAGAACATGAAGACAAGAACCAAAATAGAAAATGTTCACAAAGAGACTTGGCATGTTCAAAACGAGTAACTCTAGCCTGACTGGTAAGAAATCAACTGACAGGACCTATGTGAACGTAATCCAAATGTTACTCACCAGGAAAACAGAGTTGGAAAAGTTATCAACAGGGTAACATTTGACATGCACACTCTTGTCCTTGATCCAAACGAGTACAAGTTTTTCATTCAGAATACAGTCCCAGGAACGGTGTCCGCCGCCACATTCTTCCCTCAACAAAATTTTCCGCTCATTGTAACTCCAAACTATCACTTGATTCTAGAAAAAATTATAGGATTTTGAATGTTACTTTCAAAGCTAAAAATACTAGAGAGAATTCTGATGGGCAGTTAGAACTTGGGGGTAGCCATTCAGTGTTAAGTCATAGCGTTAAGGAAGTTACATATTAGGATTATGAACCTTATGGAGTCATTGCGATGAAAATGTGTCGGATTTGTTATCAAACATGTATATTTAAAGACAGCCCTGTCAGAGGTTTTACATCTTTTTAATAGTGCATTTGGATTTACGTATAAAGTGAAATGTACAGATACATTCTGTAAAGCCACGTGTCAATCACTTAAAATTAGGTAATTGGAATTTAGATTTCTGTTAGACGTCTTACGTAAGTCTGTTAGGAACGATGATCTCATTATGGCATTCAAGTCATTGAAATGGTCATCACCTAGAAGTAACCTAATTGATTTTAAAAAAATTTCTTAGAATGATCAGATGGAAGGAAAAGTTTCATTGCGCTATATTCCATTTCAATCTTACCGCAGTGAACCCATGCACAATGATTCCAAGTGTTTGATTCAGGAATATCCTGGTTGGCCATTTAATCGGTAATTTTTCCGTGAGTAAAAGTTCCAATTTGGCATCATTTTTCGTCCAATGACGAATATAACCATCCCTTCCGATAGAATAGGCTTCTCCCGTTTCCTCATTCCATCGGACATCACACACTCCACCTTGATGAATTTTCTTAAAAGTTTGAGACACATTCTGGGGGATGAAAATTGAATATACATGTCAGCAGACTGAAGATAGGACTTTAAAAATAATGTTCATTTAAATTTAAAGGAAGTACAATATTTTCAGTTAATTAAGACAAAACAAAGTGAGGTTGCTCAAAAAGAAAAATGTTCCTGACACTGCAGGTCATCAACCTGATGCTGGGAGCTTTTTGGTTCCTACAAACTGCATGTGAACCTGAGGAATCTCTGGTCTTCATTATGATAGTTAAATCTTTTTGCCAGTTTTATTTTTCCTTCAAAAAAATTAAAGTAATATTTTCGAATACAATTTTTTGGGTATGTTTTTGTGCATACAACTCGTACGTAAAATCCCAGGGGCAGCAGCAACATCTGGCTGTCTTCTGTCTACTCCAGTTTTCATGATACAGATACATGCTTTAATGGAGCTTCATTGAAAGGAGGTAAGGCTCACTTTGTTAATGGCTCCTTTTACACAACGGATGAGTTTTTCAATTCTTGAATAAGCACTTCAGTTTTTGACTTCTTATTCTTGTATCACATTTTTACTGGCTCAAGACACATATTATATTTATTTGGTATAAAACCTTAGTAATGAATTGTTTAAAGTAATTAAAAAATAAAATAAATAAATAATTTATGATGCTCATGGAAAAATCATGCAAACCAACGATAATTGAACATCAAAGAAAAAAAAAATCTTCCATTTGAAGCTTAAGGATCTGAAATGAGTTGGAGGCTTTCAACAATTAAACAATTTGTTGCGTTGCACTGAGGATGGGTCCAATTAGACACAAAACGCGTCAGCAGTTAACTTCCTGAATGGTCCTAACTAGTGTTGCTCCAAACAGCGTATTTCTTTGAGGGAAAATTAAGCTCAGATGAGCATTCTTCCCTCTGAATTGAGATTTTTAAATTTCTGGATTTTTAACGAATGTTGGCTAAAAAGTTCCAAATTAATGTCTAACGACTCGTGCGTCTACCGCAAATCAATTTGTGAATTAAACAATTTCTTGCAGCTTACCATTGAAGTTTCTAAATCGTAAAAATAAATTGATCCAATTCTATCGCCGCAGAGTAAATGGAGCCCTGACAGTGATGCACATGTTAACCAACGCTCTTTGTTTGCTGGTAAAATACATTCTTCATGTCTTTCAACAACTGTTGAATCTGAAAGCAGAGGAAAAAATTAATTACTGCTTCGACTTCAGAAATAGAATATTACAAAAAAAAAAAAATTCCAATGGTTGTTGATGAAATGAATAAAAAATAAGTTAAGTTTTCATTTTAAGTTCCATTTCCAATCTTTCTGAAAAACAATTATTTCTGTTTGAGAAGCTCAATTAAATAGGACAAAATGTCGGTGCCAATACAGCTGAAGCTAAATTTAAACATGGTTCTCAGTTTTAAGAATTACTCCTCTTGTTTTAGATTCCCGGGTGAAGTAGCTTTAAAACATATCATCATGACATATGAAGATTATACACTAAAAATTTTCCAGACTCATTCAAAGAGGCATCCTGGAAAACAGGATAGCCTTCAGCTTTCAGCTTGATTTTTTTCTAATATCCCTTAAACTCAAGCTCAGAAAGGTTCCTACAGAATAAACTTATGACTTAAATTGGGTAAGTATCCAAAATGGGTCAGTGGCACTAGTCACAGAATCAAGTTTTGATGGTTTAAGCTCGCAGGTTAGGAAAAATTGACAGGATTTTTCCAAACGCCAAAATTCTACAGGATAATCAACGGAGACAACGCCTATCAAACACACGGCATACGATATCATCTACTGCAGTAGTGCACACAGTAATTTTTTCCACCCTGCCCTTTGGTTTCATCCCTGTAGACCATTAAGCAACCGGTGCCAATGTGTGTGACACTGATAGATGAAAATACGGAGGAAGAAACCATGATATGCACCCCTGCGGTGGGCAATGTCATACGTTGTATTTTTCAATGAGCGATATCACTTCCAATATAGGACGTAATAACAAGGTGTTTGAACAGATCTCATTATCTTTAGCTAATCCATAGGCGTAAGCTATCAAAAGACGATTCTTTGACTGGCCTGATTGAAAGCTGACTAACTTGAAGGCTGAAAAAATATAGGTTTGAGGCAAAAGAAACTACACATTACCATTTTCATCGATACGATGCCAAAGTTCCAGGAGTCCCTCAGCGACACAGGTGACGAAAATTTCATCACTTAACCAGTGGATGGAAAATATTTTACTCGAATTGATTTGAACTTCAGATAGGAGGGTAATTTTGACAGTCCCATCACTACTATTGTCTGAAAAATTAAAATAAAACAATTCCTCTCAATTAGAAATATTGACGATTAACGGAGACCTTATTAAAAATAGAATTAACGATTCTGAATACTTGTGTAAAACTTCTAGATCTGATAAAATGGAGAGAAGCTAACCACAGCTGTCCCAAAAAGTTAAATTTAGTTATGGTCGGTTGACAATGATTCAGAGCAAAGCTTATTTGAAATTTAATTTAATCTATTCGACAATGCAGCAATGATGAAAATTCTAGGCTTGATTATTCATTTTTATGCTAAATATTTTTTTTCTTCAGTTCTAAGTAATGAATTTTTCGGAGGTGATGGTGTTACAGGATGTATCATTTTATTGAAGTGTCACTAACTTTTTTCTAATTAGTGCTGTATATATTTCGAACATTTGTAACTTTAAAAAAAAACCAACAAGCAGAGTAGCAATAATGTTCATCAATATCATACATTATAAGTGTCCTCTAACTTTAAAGAGACATCCTTTTAGGTACACGCAACTTGCGGAAGATAAGTTCCAAGTTTTTTTTCAGTTTTTACACACTTGTCAAAATTTAAACTTGGTTTATTCATTTTCTAATTTATTTTCAGTAATGATATACGTATTTCTTTTTCATTCTTTATGCATTATATTACAGTATTTCGTATTTCTCCTCTATAATCCGTGAAAAACAATAGAACAAATTAGTAAAATAATATCATGCAATAAAATTGTTGTTCTGCTTTGAAACTGCTTACCTTGAAATAACAAAACAGTTCCACAGATAGAGGCAAGTGAGACAAACTTCCTAGACGTGGAAACTGACAATAGATGATAATTGGAAAATCTCCTGTCGTAGAATAAAAGCTTCCACTTAACACTATTTAAAGAGCTACCTAAAAGGAAGCCTTTGTCTAAAGAGGCAATCACATTACCACTTTTCACTAAAACTAAGCTTTTCAAATTAGAGCATCTGAATGCACTGGGACAGAAATCACAGCCATCTAGGAGAGAGTTCGTAGAATTTGTCATAGAAAAATTCTTCAAGAGGTCACTTGATGCACTAGTTTCTTCTGAAGTGGCTCTACAGACACTGGAGCTAGAGAAGGGACTTAGACTATTGAATTCTTTACTTAATTCATTTCCTAATATCACAGATTCAGAGGTATCACATTTTGCTGATTGTTGAGGTTTATTGATCTCATGAATATCAGCAAGGCATGAGTCAAAATTGAAGTCAACGTGGTTTGTTTCGACTTCAGATGTATTTGTAACTGACCACAAGCACAGTCCACCATCGGCTCCACCAGTTACTATCAATCCGGCAGATGCGTTCACATCTACAGCGCAAATGGATGCTCCTTGATGTGCTTCTTTCCGCATTGTATTTTCACCTTTTTCGGTCCAAGCACACAACATACCATCCTACAAAATAAATAAGCTTGAAATATCAACATAGTCAGTTTTAAATTAAACAGGTGCAATCAAACAACATAAAAAAAGTAGCAGATAAAGTACGTTGATCATTGAAGTCATAGACTTATAACACAATCATTGTATAATAAGTTTATGATTGAGGTATTGTTCAAGTCCACTGGACAAAATGAGAATACGGTGAATTGGATTTAGATGATTGATCAGTCTTTCGTTTCTGCACTGTCACGAGCTCTCTTTGTTATGCCTTCATTGGGCAAAATAGTGAACAAGCTAAAGGCACATTCTAAGAAACTGACAACAGCTGGTTATTAGCTGGCCAGACCAAGAGATGCCTGGATAATCCACTGATGGATAAATGATGGTTTAGTAATTTGCCTAAAGCACAGAAAAAGATTTTACTTCTATAAATCTGCTCTTTAGGTTGTTATAAAGAAACTAAAGGGTTACACCCCCTGGCCACTTTGCTCCCTCAAAGGTTCGCTTCGCGAATCTCTGTGATTTGATCAAATTAGAGCAGGCACATTTACAAACTGTCTCCTATCGATAGTCATAAAAATCACGAAAATCGAAAGAAAAAAATCGGTAGATCAAAAGAAAAAACTGAGAAAAAATGAATATTTACATTGTTTAAATGAGAGAAAGCACAATTATGTTACGTAATATAAAAAAACTTGGGTCATATTTCCAAAATCTGAAAAGAACCGGATTAGTTAGGGACTAACGTCAGTTGATAGCTGCAAAACTCACGGAAATTAACCCTATAGAAAAGTAGAACGAACAGTTACAAAAAGAGAATATTTAGGGGGTCAGAGAGTTTATATTGAGACTGCATAATATGTTGATTCATTTGTAGGCTGAATAGTTACGCGTCTACCTCTGCAGGGATCATGAGGTCTTGCTTTAGAATTATCTGTGCTAGTAAGAAGTACGATCAATTAGGGCTGGGAAAATAAAATTGAAGAGGGGTTTCATTTTTCTAAGACCCCATAGTCCAATATATTAAGAATGTGGGACAAGAGTCATAAGGTGAGATGTTTTACCTCTCCTACGCTGATAATATTTTTGTTTTTTGAATCGTTCAAAATTGCACTCTGCCATACACGTGCTGTATGACCAAATATTGTGGAAGTGAGTGCAATATTGGCAGTTGTCCAATCATTTTCGGTCTTGAAATTGACTTTCCAAAATCGTACAGTCCTATCGTCAGATGTTGAGACTATAAGATTTGATTTTGGGCAGTAGTTGACGGAGAAAATAGCGCCCTGAAAAATCAAGGATGACAGGTAAATATACAAGGAATGAGAAGTTAAAAAATAAAGACTATATTGTAATCCTTGCTCCCCCATGGTCCATGGCTAAACCAATGCATTGATGAAAAAAAAAAGTTCCAGTGAGTTATACATATAATGTAAAAAATGTTCAGAATCAGTAAAGCATTGATTGCTTCGATAATTACTGTTTCATATTAGCTGATGAAATCAGAAATGCAAAAAAGGATTGGGTACTCTTTGAAACAGGCACCAGTTTGCACTTGAAGAGAGAATCTAGAACAGAATTCTATCAAGATTGTAGTATCAGCCTGCAAGAATGCTATCATCAGGTTATTAATACAATTTTACATGCTGTAAAGCATAAAACAATGGTGAAACTGCAAACATGCGTATCTTGGTTAGCTGCATTGCAAACTTACTGTCATACTTAATTTTCCACATCAAAAACTACTAAACGTCATTTCTAGAAAACTTCAGTGAATTTTTATCTCTATGTACTTAAAGAATATTCTGTGAAAATTTTAATACATCATGTTGGTTTGGGGTCCTTTTAGAAAATAAAGTAGGAGGGCGGATTTTGAGACACTGCAACCGAGATACTATTTTTGCAGTTTCACTGTTGAAAAGCATCTTACAGTCAGGACTGAGGTGCAACAAACGATCTCATTAATCAATATAAAATCCAATTAAAATACTAAAACAGGGGTATCTTGAGAGCGAATTGAAAAAAAAAATAAAGGAGCATCAAGATATACCGATAAAAATAAATGTTGGATTTGTTCTGATAGAGCTTTAGATTTTGACCTCCCCTTTACTCTCTGTCAAACTAGTTGATAAAAGTGATTCTACTGTTCGATTTGCCTATCTTACACATTTTAGACTTGCTTGCATGGAGTTTCAATTTCCTTATCAAATGAACAAACCTTATGTCCTTTCAAAGTGAATAATGTTGGACTAATGGAATCAGTGGGTTTCCAGATCAAAATATTTTGCATGACAGTTCCTACCAAAATGACACAAGTAGTCCAAGAGGCTCCTATAATTTTACCTGAGTACCTATCAAAATGTGTTAAGGTTCAATTGATGAAAATATTCATTAATTTTGGAATAAATAAACCAAGTTTTAAACACAATTTTGCAACAACATAGAGGTTAAAAGTGCAGGAAGAAGAAATAGGTATTCATTTCTCTCTCACTTTATCATTAGTATACAAAGAGGGACTTTACCAGTTGCTCTATGTTTTTGAGTCTTATTGCTGTTGACAAAATCTTGATTAGGAAATCTGTGCAATGATACCAGCAAAAAGCTTCATCCAGAGATAACTCAAGAGTTACAATTATCCTCCCTGATGCAGTTTGTGAAACCGTTGATTATTAAAAAGATGTCTCAGCTCAAAACATTTTAAATAGAAAATGCACTATTAAAACAGGTATTAGTACAGCTTCAATTGGACTGCATCATGCAGGAAGGACCCACTATTTCTGGCTCATTAAGGGATGAAGGTGTGAGTCATAAGTTTCCCTATGCAGATACTTGCTTTTTACATACCATTTTAACAAGGATCACTTTGGCTTGGACCAAATTCCGCGACCAAGAAACATGTTAATAAAAAGCAAAATTCACACAAATGAAAAAGGATACACAATACACTGGTCCTCACAGTAGGCAATGCTTTCTTTGGATTTTGAACTACACTTCCACAGTGTCACAGAGTTATTCATTCCCACGGTCAGAAATGAGTTAGCATCAAACCATTTTACATCCCAAATCCATATGCTGTCAAGCCAGGTATCAATCACAGTCCTGAAAAAAGCCGAGTATAGATGAAACATTTTTCAGAAATGCATTTGCACCTATTGAATGCCAAGGCTGAAACATTAGGGATTATAAATTGAAAAAGCCTGAATTACAGAAAAAATCTGTACTTTGGACAGTCTTTGGCAAAATCCCCACTGAAATTCAACTAAAGGAGTCATTGGGTTTTTTCTCAGCTGAATTTTAACAGAGATAAATCAATTGTGAGGACAATGAGACGTTGAAGATACATAATACTGTGTTGAATGTTTGATAAAAGACAGGATTTTATTCTTACTTATTTATCCATTTTATTTGTTGATTTTCTTTTATTTTAAAAGTATTTAAATAAAAAAATTTCAATGTAAAGAAAAATCTAATCTTAACAGAAAGAATACTTACACATTTATTGTACCATTGAAACTGACAGAGACCATAGAGAACTCTTTTCCGCCCCAAATGATTGCTCTACTTGAAACTTCAGAAGAATCTTCAAGGAAGGTAATACCATAAATATTTTGGCCTTGGAGGATTTGTTTCTTGGATTCAATTTTTTTTGTATTAATGTTGTAAATGTGCAAGACATCTCCAACTCCTGGAAAAAGTTGATACACAGGTTTATTCAATGCTTGTTCAGTGACATTTTGAGAGATTAAATTTCATCACCAAATTCATTAAAAATTAGAAGCAGGATAAAGAGTTTTTTTTTTCCGATCCCAGATTATGCTCTAGGTACCTATTTCCTTTTTAATTAGGATGAAGAGATTGAAAGTAAATTGCACTTGTAAAGAGAAAAAACTAAATAATGAGATAAGACTCTGAACAAAATGAATGTGTTCGGTGTTGCCATCGCTCTACGAATGTGTGATTTTATACTATGGCTATAATTCTGAAAAGTGTAAAGCCCAGGTAGAACAGCTGTATGATGTTTCCTCTTGAAATAGACTTTTTATCATTTAGTTCTTGGACCAAGATGCGAGTTATTCAGCAAAGAAGTGTTCCCTTATTTAACACTTACGTAACTGCGCCTGACACAAAATTTCAACAATCAGGGCTGGGCGAAGGCGCGCGAAAATCAAACCCAGCTTAAATGTGACATTTTCTAGGATAATTTTGGTCCAAAGAATAGAAACCAGAGGAAACTTGGAGAGAAGATATAGATTTTGCTAAAATGCAAATATCACATGTTAGGAATATCGAATATCTGCACGGTTACAACTTGCAATCCAAGACATGTGTCTTTGAACAGCGATACTGAGAAATTACCTGCAATAATGAAGTGATCTAGAAACTTAACACAGGAGACACGGCATCTGCTGAAAAGGGATTTGAAAAATCTGCGTTCAATGGGAACTTCTGACACTTGAGCCTCTGCGGCCATGATTTTGATACTTTTTTCACGAAAAATTGCTAGCCCGAGAGAGTAACACTTTCTTTGCTTTGTAAAATCTACAAAATCACATGAAGATCCGCAGAATTACATTCACGGTCACATTTTTAAAAACACCGAACACTTAAAAAAACTGCAAGAAACTGACATCTAATTTCCACAATGATAAGCGTGATAAGGAGGAGCACGTTTTCTAACCTCTCTCAGATGTTTGTTTATGCCTGTTTTTAGTCCGTTCCTTGTCCGTTCCTCAAAATCCAAAAAAATTACTCTAAAGTTCCAAAAAACAAATCAAAAAGGAAAATGGATAGGAACGGAACGGCAAAATTAATCAGCAAACAACGACAGGGAGGGGTAGAAGGGGGGAAATTCGTCTGTTATGGCTGACTGTTAGGCTGACAATTTTCCGTAGGTTGTTGGCACCAAAAATTCCGGCGAGGATGAATTGCTAACGCAGTGATATTTAGTAAGCTTTTTCCTTCGCTCATTTACCTTCTTTATTTCTTACTTCGTTCAGCACCAGTCGATTATTTGCGGCGAATTCACTCCCTTCATTATTAATTTTAGTATTTTAAAGTGATAGCTCGACGTAAGCCGTTGCTTTGTGATTTCTCCCTCAAATTGTTTACATTTTCCAGAGCCTATCTTGAAGTTATTTTTCTCTCATTTCATCGCGTACTTGTTCGTATAACTTAGGCATCATGTCGCTTTTCTTCAACCGTGATTTTAGCTAACTATTTTTCATCAATTTTCAGAGCTTGGGTGAAGGCTGTTTTGGATGAGGGAACCCCTACCCTAAAATCTGAAATGTAGTGGTTTCTTGGGTGAGGTTTGTTCCCAGACATCATGTCCGCACCATTGAAGAAGGTAATACTATTTTTAATTTTTTTAAATTCTGCGGTTTGCACTATAATGCATGTTAACCACAAGCATAGCACAGGCTTGTCTGATGTAAGCGCCAGCGATCAGGTCTATCTGTTCTTGGTTTCGTCAATTATCTTCTCCTACATAGGAAGTTGAAACCTGTTTTCATCATGAAGGAATCGGTAGTTTTTCTCAAGAAATTATTCACCCCTAACATTTTGTGCTTTAACAATTCTCATTTGCACAATCGCTGTGAATTTAGTTTAGTCTCCATGTCTAGGACGTTGATAGAGGAGGCGTGGACTAGTCCTGGTTTTATGTTCTTTTTAGCTGAAATTTTATTCTGTAAGCTCCTCCACCATTTTGTGCAACATATTTTGATTTATATTATTGTGTGATTGAATTCCTCCAAATGAAATTGAGAAAATTTTTTGCTTAAGGTGGAAACTTGGGCTTTCTAGTCTGATGGAAAGATTCAAGATTTTTTTTCCTGACCGGATCCAATTCTAGAACATTAATTTATGAAATCAATCTAATAAAGAAAACCTGCCTTAGCCAGTGTACAACTAAATACTGGTAGCTAACATGTACACAAGTGTAGGAGACTAATTTGAGTAAAACATGTGGCTAGTTATTTACAAAATAATTCAATGATTCCTGCCTAAGCATATCGAAGTATTAATCTTATAGATGGAACCAATATAGCCAGTGGATTAGATATAGAATACAGTTGATAAATATCTTTCAGAAATTGAAAGTGCATAAACTTTGTCTCCTTAATCTTCAAAAAATTAAGCTGAAGAATTACTTTTTTAAAGCTAACATGAAACATGTATTTTTCCTTTAAGTATGTACACATTGCCACTTCGAAAGTCAAAAATTTTCTGTACTTGTAGAAAACATGAACAGCTTAGTAGTTTCCTAAAATAACATGAGTAATGGCAGTAAAACAACCAACTTACTTATCTTGTTTGTGGTGTTTTAAAATCTCCGACAGTCAGTAACGTCGCTAACTAACATGCATGGTTTTAGAATTTGAACATCGATAAATTGAAGAGACCAAGAAAAACTTGGTTGGTTTTTTTTTAAAGAAGTATACATTTCTTCAATACATTCGTATACACAGGGGTGCAGAATCTTCCAAGCTTCCACATTTTCACGCGCCCGCCAGCCGGCTTTCCACATTTTTCTCATCAGTTTTTCACAAAATTTCCCACCAATCTTTGAAAGATGACTTTTTCTCTGTTTTCCTTTGATTTTTTACCTTTGGGCCCTCCAAATGTTCCCTCCTTCCACATTTTTGGGGCTCTTCCGTATTTTCAGCATTTTCTCGCACCCCTGCGCATACATTCATATAATTGCTTTCAGAAAAGAAAACCTGTCATGAATTTCCACAAAGTTAAATGATTTCAAATTTCAGGGGTGCAGAAACTTCTGGAAGATGTGACTGGGCCAATCATTTGAACTGGGGGACCCTGTTAGGTTTTTCAAAATTTACCTTGTTAGTCATTTTAACTATGATAAAATCCAAGATTTTAAGTCTATCGTCTTTTTTCTAGTTTTTAAGGGAAATTGAGAGGGAAGGCTTGAAACTTTCTGCACCCTTGTTGAGTGTTTCTCGAGAACACTTTTTATTTTTTATTCATTTTCAGGCTTTGGTGAATGGAGAGAGTGCAGGAGATGCCCCAGACAGCACAACCAAGGAAAGAGTCATGTTCAATCCTGGTGAAGAAGTCCTTGTCAACCACATGAACCGATTTATATTCGGTTATGTAGTTCAAGTAAGTTGAACACAAATTTCATTTTATTGTTTTCTTCAAAAATAACTCTGAACTCTTGCCTACAAGAACGTGAACTGTCGTAACGGAATCTTAGCTTGAAAATCAAGAAGACCCATGTTTTTGTCACTTCGAGCAGGCTAAAATTTATCTTTAAAAATCAATTATGGACACCTAATTTTGGGAACCACCTATATTGTTTGGATCGGTGAACAATTCTAAATTCATTTTACTGCTCTACTTTACTGACAACATCTAATGAGAGAACTCTAAGTGAGTTAAAAATAGGTGTTGAGAGGGTGAGATAACCACGCAGAGGTTTGCATTTCCACTTGGAATGAAAGGTACAGAATCAGCACATTCCTTCTCTCCACTGCTCTGTCATTTTGCTAACACAGTGCACAGGGTTGTCTTGTCTCTGGGTTTTGAAAAATTTAAGCTGAAGTAACCAAAAACACATAACATAATAAACACACAGTAACATAATAAATCAATCAATTAGCCATAGCAGCTTAATTGAATTTATCTCTTTTTAATGATCAAAGTCCATGTAAACAAACTCATTGAGCAGCCTTTTGTATTGATTCAGAGAACCTAATGAAATGAGCTCCTCCTGCAGCAAACTAGTGTGTTTTATCCTTGGGTCTGTTGAATAAGTAATACTTATCCCCAAAATTGTAATTTTTTTTATCAAAGTGCCCCTCATGTAGGTATTTATGTATTTATACCCTACATAATTAATTATCTCAATTCTTTGTCCTGCAGGCTGATTTGCCTGGAGAAAAATGTCTAGTAAAATATGATGATGGCAATGAAAAGTGGTGTTCCTTCAAATATGTAAGACGGCTGATACCTGAGTCGACTGTAAAATGTGTTGTTTGCAAAGAGTCAAGTAATAAGACTGAAAACCAAGTTATTGTCTGCGATAAATGTTTGCGTGGCTATCATAAATTATGTCATCAGGTATGTACTCAATTCACTTTGTACCATTAAATATTTCCCTTGAAATAATTTCTGCTGCACTATTTACTTGGAAATATATTATTAATTGAACTCATGGAAGAGCAATGTATCGTTTGGATTTCTCACTAAATCATTTAGTTTAGTAGTAGCCATTTTATTTTTTCTAAAAACCATCTCTGTGACCAATTTTATTCTTAAGCCTCATCGTATGAAATTTATGATTACTTGTGGGAAGACACAGTTAGAGCCTAGAATCACTTGTGTGTCATAGAAAGGTGATTAGGGTAGTAGGAAAAGGTTGAAAAATAGTTTCAGAGTAAGAGAAAGCTTATTTCAAACATCTTTATTCAATAAGTATAATTCCTGTTCAGAACAAAAATCACAGCAATAGACAGCTTTTCATGGAGTATCAGGAGAGGCCCCTGCTCCTGTGCAAGTTTTTTCAACCCAGTTCTGCCACAAAATTTCTATCTTTTTTTTACTTCTCTAATCGTATATCTTGTATCAAATATTTCAAATTGAAGATTTGAATAGGCCTAGCGTTTTTAAATCCTTCAGGGTCAGACTTCTAAAACAAAATTGCTATGGCTTTAGAGCGCATTAAGACATGTTGTCATTCATCATGCAAATAAAAAAAAAAAAAAAGTACCCTGCAAGCATCAGCCTAAAATGAATGAATCTAAATGACTGTATGGCAGAAGGGTCCTATCAACAATTAGTACTCATTGTTACATCTTTAAGGCTTTTCCATTGTATCCTTCTCTTTCGCTTCTTGAATTATAACAGTATCAATAATGTTATGATTCTTTTTCAGCCGAATGTAACAGGTAGTACAAATGGTTGGCTATGCAAACATTGTGATGAAAAGAAATCATGGCCAAAAAAGACTGATATTGTAGATGCCCAACCGCCGAAGCCACCGAAGCTGCCACCGTTACCAACATCTGTCAGAGAATTACCGTACAAGGTAAGATTCATTTTTACTTTAAAAAAATTGCTAGCATATTTCTCATGTTACATTTTTTTGCGTATCACTGGGTTAACCCAAGTTGGTGAAAAATTATTGCTTTTTCAAAAACACAACAACAGCTGAATTTATTTTATCGTGAAATGGCAAACACTGAAATTTAAAGGAACAATTCTTCAGTCTCCTGTAAGTTACACGTAAACCCATCAGGTTAATTTCAAAATTTCATGCATTATTTGATTGAAATTGGTTGCCAAATTTTTTCATTCAACAGATTGTTCTGAATTATTTCTTTTTCCAACATTAAATTTTGTCTTCCTTATCCACGTCTATTTTGGTGAAGATAATAAAGGATGTTCACTAATGCCACAAAGTCGATGTCCCATGAGCTTTGGCAAATGAGACCCTGTGTTCCTATATACTGAGCAAAATTTCAGGTATAGCTAAGTAACTTAGTCCAATTTGTTGAATAATGTAGATAAGCGAGCAAGTCTGAAATTTTGAGAATACAAAGAATACAGTGGTTCGGCCATGTTGAGAGAATGGAAAACAGCAAAATGCCGAAAAAAAGTATGAAAAAGGGAAGGTCTTAACTTGGATGGAAGATGTTGAGAAAGACCTGTGAGTAATTAGAGTCTGATGATGGAGGCTCAAGATACAGGATAGGATGCAGTGGCTAGGCCTAGTCATGGAGGCCAAAGCCCACATTGGGCTGTAGAGCTAGAGAAAAAGGAGAAGAGGGGAATGAGAGGTGGAAAAAAAGAAGGTACTTTAAGGTACAGTTAAAAGTTATTTATTTTTGGACATTGCCTCATGGCCAAAGAATTGCAAAGGATCAGATTTTTTCACCATTGTAGAGTTGCTGGTAATGATGAGTTGACAATGCGGGAGGCGTAGGCCTCTCCGAATGATTATATGTATCCTTGTTTGTAACTTTGAAATATGATAACTAACGTGTGTGCTCTCTTTTTACTGAACTTGAATGTAATTTTTCTTCTGAATCAGCTGGATAGCTTACTATGGGACACTCAGCACCAAACAAATTCAACAGGCCAGTATTGTTATTGTGGTGGTGCCGGTGACTGGTTCCTGAAAATGCTACAATGCGGAAGGTGCAAACAGTGGTTTCATGAGCGCTGTGTTCGAGCTTTAACATGTCCCCTTTTTATTGGTGACAGGTAAGCAGCATGGAAATTCTTAAAAGTTTTAATTTGACATGAAATGGTCTCTGAAAGAAACAGTTTGAGATGAATGTTTCAAAGAATATCGGAAAATTTTTAATCTTTTCTTCTCGCAACAAAAACTGAATCCCTGTAATGCAAAGAGAAGTGTAGGTTTGTATAATCTCAAAAACTTCATTAATTTCAGTGTTGCTTTTTCTGTGACTCTGAAAAAAGGCTGAAAATGTAATTGCCAAACCCTTTGTTACAACTCACTTTGGCAATCCAGCTATTGTACCACTCAGTTATGCAGAGAATGATCATATTGTAGTGGGTTGGTGGTCAATTGGCCAGTGAAGGTTGGCTTGATGTGGCTTCATCGTCGAGATCCGTGTCCAAGGTCGCGCTCGCAGAAGCTGCGTTACTAGCTGATAAGAATTCGTCAAAGTCGACTCACTCCTCCACATCAAATGTACTCTGCTATTGAGCCCATTCCAGCCTATCCTCCTCTGTGAAAAAATCTTCGTTTGGCTCACATGTAATATCTTCAGTCACATCTTCCGTTTTTAATATTGTTTGTCGTATTTTTTCAGGTTCTTTATATTTGTTTGTGGCGCCTGCCATAGAGGTGTTGAGATCCTACGTAGAATAGAGATGACTTGGTCGGACCTTGTACATTTAGCCCTATTCAATTTAACAGCATACGAGTGTAGAAAGTACCATGATCTAGACAATCTCATGAAGTTTCTCCTTAGTAATTGGTCATCTTTACAGCTGCCACCAAAGGTATTTCACGTTTCTATTATTCTTTTTTGTAACATTTGGTTTTAATGTATTTTATTCAGCTAGGGTATAGGCCAAATAAGTTTACGCACGTACTGTGACAGAAGATCCACCATCTTGATTTTTGCTCTTACTTTCAATGCCAAACTTTAAACAGCTAATCTTCCTCTGCACTCTAAAAATGCGTAATCTTCTTTAGTGTGAACTTTTCTTACAAGTTGGGAATGGAGTATAAAGGGAAACTATCCAACTGAATGACCTGTGAATACAATCTTATGAGTAAAACTTAGGATTGTAGGTACATTTGACCTACCTAATTGGAAACTAAAGCTATACTTTGTTCAAGTAGAAATGCAACAAATTGCCGAGTCACAAAGAGAGATGTACCAGGAATCAGTTGGATGGATTCTTTAACAGAGTACCTATTTGAACATGTTTTCCCCAGTTTCCAAATCGATTTTCTATTTTAAGTCGATCATCAAGTGTTAACTCCTACATCTGACAGGTTTTGCAATGAACAGGTTCTTTTACTTGTATTTACCATTGTAAATCATTGGGACCTGAAATAACTCCCAATAATAGCCCCTTTGCCTGCGTGCACATCATCTATCAGGATCAGGAACCACTGTTCACCAAAACAAACGCTATCCCATCAGCAACAATATTATCCTCAAAATTATGACAGGGACAAGTTTTATAGGACACTTAACTTTTCTTCTAATCTCATTTTATTTTTTGTTTCTTCTGAATTACAGATGTTCTCTAGTTCAAGAGAAGAAATTAGGGAAAATGTAACGAATGTGTTACATTCAGATAAGAAAAGGTAATTTTAATTTTTTTTTTCAATTACACATTAATACTTCGGAATTAAGGCAAAGCCTTTTGTTATGGATCTTGCGTCATTCTAGAGAACTAGAAAATGTGAGAGCAGAGTGTAAAAACCTATATTATCTTAACTCAGATGCCAGATTACTTTTAAGAGTGATTCTATGGCTTTACTCTGGTCTCATTGAATGGCAAAGCAAAATGAAGTCAGATTTCAAAAACGAAAAGATAAGGGAAACCATATAATTTCCATTCAAAAAGTTGATTTCGAAAAATTGACGGAACTGAAATAAAGATGTGACCCAGCCAAATTTTCGATTCATCAGGAATCCATCTTGTCGAAAATCGATGATAATAGTCAAGGGAGTCAGTTTAGTAAAGTAAGATTTAAAGTGTAATAGCAAGTAGTATTCAAATTAATGGAATGTGTTCTCTTTTTTGAAAACTTCTCTAAAACTATTCCCAATCTGATTGCTCCAATTTTTTATCATGAAATATGCTTTTATTTTTTAGATTCAAAGATGGTGTTAAACTAAAAAAACCAAATAGTTGGGGATTATGCGAACGCATACCGCCACCTGGACCTGTGTTCACTTTGTTGCCACATCTACCTATCTCTACGTATATGCCCATCTCAGATGTGACGTTAGCGGTTTGGTTGAAAGATAAGGAGCTGAAGTTTTATCCTTTACTAACAACACTGGATCCCAAGTAAGTATTATTTTGCTTTCCTCCACTTGATGTTGAAAAGAAGGATGAACAAGTTGAGATGATTTTCCGTTGATTATTTTTGGATGTTCAGACAGCTGGAACCCATTTGTAGAGAGCCCATTGTCTCTGCAGTTAACTGTCAATTTTTCAAAAACCATTTTCCCACAGGCGGTCTTTCATTTTCAAGACTTTGTCTTGACCAGGCACCCTTTTTACCAGTTGGATCATCTAGTAGTACACTACGTCAAAATTATGAAACTCTACTGGCAGTTTAGTTTCTTTCATTTGGTTTAATGTTCAATTTTCACTTGGAATTATCTTATTGTTTTGTAAAGAACACAGCAACAGTAATGGGCTCAGCAATGTGAAACAGATTACTGAATTGTCCTCTTACAAAGGAGAACTCCGCAAATAACGTTGTAGTATCAATGGGAAGATTCCCTGTCTTGCATCCCACTAGAAATGACAAAAGAAATGTTCATCTTTCACTTTATAGTAAGGTTGTTGGTATTGCACTTCGAGTTTTGTTTCCTTTGCAACTCATGTATATTTTATGTTGTCATTCAGTATTGCTACAATATTCTTTATATTCTGTTGCAGGTCAATGAAACAACATGGATTTCCTCCTGCAGCAGGAATCAAGCTTATTCACAAAAACAAACGTCCCCTTGTTCTTCCCAAAGGAGTACCTGCAACTGGACACAAGGTAATTTCTTCAAGCTTATAATCTACAATAATATACTTTCATAGCCCTCATCCAAGGCGCAAACTAAATGAGATATGCCTTCAAATCTTGCAGGGGAATGGAAAAAAGTAAAATGTTTTTAGAGCAGGAAAAATAATAATTTTTGCAGGGACGAGTACTTTAATACTATTCTTAAATTCGAAGGTCTGCCGTTGCGTTGTGACAAGCTTTGCTGATGATAATGAAAGTCTAACAACCACTGCAAATATTTTGGATGCTAAAAAAAATACTAAAAAGATATTAAGAACTTTTCAGGGCTGGCAAACATAGTCTTTTGGAATAAAGAATACCGGATAGTTAAGAAACTGAAATCATTGTAAACACTGATGCGTTTTGGGACAGCCCAGTCTCCTATTCAAGGCTTGAATTCCGACTGGCTTTTTGACATTGTTTGTATCATCTTTTTCATTCTCATGCCTATCAATTTTCCATTTTCTTTCTTTCATTTATTAGCTCACAGTTTGTTACCTCGTTTGCCCATTTGTTTCCTTTCCGTTTTGTTACCTTCGGTTTTGCGTTTATGGTCTTTTGATCTCGAATCAAATTGAATTGAGTAAGGAAGGAAAAAAATTGAATATCAAATGGAATCAAATATTTTTACTTGATTTTAAACACAACCACCTCCTTGTTATTCAACTCAAAGCAAACCTTTTTCATATCGTTTTAATCACTACCTATCTTAAAAGTAAAATCATTGAATTGCCCTGTCATCCTCAAATCTGTGGCTCTGTCCCGCTTGTTTGAGGTTCAGTCCCTCCAAGGGGCTTTCTGGTCAGACCCTTGGAGAGTCGTTGTCAGCCTTCAGGGTGGTTTCATTTTTTGCTCACCCCTTGGTTGGGTAAGCTGCGTCACGCGGGGACCTCTCAGAAAATGGTACCGTGTCCCTCTGGTCGTATCTTTTTTTTCAAGGGAGTACAGTATTTAGACCGTTTTCCCCACTTTTTCCTTGTTACACACACTTGATGTCCTCCTCTTTGTCTTCTGGGCTCCAGGTTCTATTTATGGGTGGGCCTAATGAGAGAAGTCCCTTATTTTCTACAATTCGGATGTTCGATTACCTGCCCCAGCGATTATCTACAATTGGACAGCTAGATTGCCTCTGATAGGTGGAAAGACGTCGTAATCTCACTGTTGCTGATGGCTGTATACCTATGGAATTTCTTGCAAAATATCCAATATTTTTTGCAAATATTTGAACCTAGGCACAACCATTTGGTCGAATAAACTCGATAATTTGAGGTTTTGAGGTTCCTGTGAGGTTCTGAGGTTCCTGTGAGGTTCTGAGGTTCCTGTTAAATTAAATAGGAAAAGTATTTGAACTCAAATATTTGAGGGTAACCAACCTTAGAAATGTATGGAACTGTGGACTATGTAAGGTCAAAGGTTGTGTAAGGTCTCAGCTTTTTTTGTCCATGGCCTGTAGAATTACTTTTTACCACTTGGTATGGCACTTTTTATTGAGGTTTCTGAAGTTTTTCTGTTTCATCCTCTTTTCAGGTGTGCATAAAAAGTTCAGTCCCTTGCTATCCAGAACCTGCTAAACTAGAGAAACGCATCCGTGAACAAGAGCTTGCTTCTTTGAGACTTCGAGAGTACCGTGTTAGAAAATCTCGGAAACCAACGAAAAGCTCGGATACTGAGGTTTGTAATAAAACTCTTGTCCTACCCTTCCCCCTTCATTTTGATACTATCCAGTTTTCTGGTTGTTTCAATTGCACTAGCTATTTCAATGATAGTTACAATAGAACATTTTTGTCAACGATTGCTTTTTCGTTTTTTAAATCCTACAGAGTCATTTCAGAGCCTTGCTCTATTATCAGCAACTCTGATGTACAAAGATTGTTTTGAAGAATGTATTAGATTTTTATGGATGTAGTGAGTGGTTCGTAAAAATTTGGAAGGTCCAAAATGTGGCTTATGAGACGCACACCAGTAAACTGATGTTGAGTGATGGATGGTGACTACAAGCAAATAAAGGACGAAAAAATGTTTTTAACTCCGCTCTTAGAGGTTTTTTTTGTTCACTTAAGTTTGCTCTGTTTTTTGTGTGTTTTTCTGAAGAGCAAAAACAAATGCCCTACAGAACATCGGTAGGTGATGTGTCGAGTATTGAAGTATGTACAAAGTAATTTGATTGCAGAAAACTACAAAATAAGTATCAAGTCCTAAAGTAGCACAGTGATCCAACCTTTTAAACATTTTTAAAGTAAATAATCTTAATAAGCTCTCTGTCTTCTCTAATTTTCATTTACTGGTCCAAGCTGTATTTAGAGATCCACCGAGCTAATCTTTCTGATTTTTTCTTTCAGGAGAAGTCGAGATGGGCTTGCTAACTTAAAATTTGAACTGTGACTCATTTTTTTGGGGGGGGGGGGGACAGGGGCGCATGTAGCATTTTTATTGCTTCGAGAGTGTGGAGTATTTCTTGGAGGTTGAGGTTCCACAGTGAGGGGAAAATTTTCTAGTTATTTGTTCAAACTAAAAAATAACAATAGCTTGTTTACTTACAGGATGCTTCATTGGAGCACATAACTCCTCCAACGCCTCCACCAAGTGAAGATACCCCACAACCAACACCACCATCCAACTCGCCTGCTCCTGGTGCAACACCATCATGTGGCTCAGCTCCAATGTCTATTTCCTCCCAAACTTCAGACTGTGACTCAGCCTCTGCTTCCAATGGCCAAGCTGATAAAGTTAGACCTATCACTTTGCCGTTGCCACTAACACCTGTGATCACACAATCAGTTCAACGTCCTCTTAAAAGGAAGCTATGTGAAAAGGACATACGGATCAACCGAAATGGTGAGGTGAAAAGGCGTAGAGTCAGACGGCAGTGCACTTTATCTCCTGTCAAACAGCCTGTCAGTGTTTCTCAGCTGTCCATTCCAAATTCTAAGACGTCCAGCTCCCTAACTGCTACGCCTGTTCCGCACGTTCATCCTTGTTCATCAACCTCCGTAGCTAATACCAGTAATTGTCAAACAATTTCTCCGATGTCATTGCACGATCTCAAATCATCCGTCCATAGTTATTTTGGAGCGGCTAGTAGAATTTCCTGTGGTGAAAAGTTCATAGTTCGTGCTAAGCGAACCCTGGCTGATGGGCGTACTCAATACCTAATACAATGGAATAACCGGCCATTGACCTAATGTACGTTGCTCCACTCTAGGAATTTCTTTTTTCTTATTTTTAATCCTTTCACTCCTCAGATCCTACTAAAGTCAGTTACCCGATTTTGAGTTTCAAAGCTGCGTGGTTTTCAAGACAAAGTAACTTTTCCTATTGGTAGTTTAAGGAATCGGTCTCTAGGTGTTAAAATTTTTTTCCCATCGTTTTCCCGCTAAACCGTGCTAGTAAAAACCGGAAGTTCGTTTTTCCTCCGTCATGTTATGTTCACCTATCTGAATTGTAATTCATTTACTCGTTCATCATTGTTCATATTTATTTTGAAGCTGTCAATTCATGTTGAACGACTGGCACAGTATTGACTTTTTTTTTTTTTTTTTTTTTTTTTTTTTTTTTTTTTTTTTTTTTTTTTGTTCAAATGCAATGAAATAGAAAACTGGTCTTAAAGATTATGCGCAGTCACCATGCTAGGAAGGTGACCTTTGCAAAAATTGTGATAGCTCACAGCTCTTACCTGCCAAACCAATTAGTACTATAATGTGCTCAGAAATATCTTATTTTATCAACTGCTTCACGGAAGAGCATATTAGCATAGTGATACCGTACCATTTCTTCAACAAAGCAACTTTACATAATTTTCTTGCTACCATTCTCCTGTTTGCGACCATTCACAATTAAACTCACAGCTCCCCTTTGCATAAAGTGATCACCATGTAACAATAACATCATTGAAGCTGTTCTCTTACTCGTAACAAAATCATAATTCTGTGGTATATTGGCTATAAATCAGTGGAAATCACCTGTCAATGTACAATTGAATCAGGGGGGAAATGAATACCTAACTGGTGATACCTCTCCTTTTTGTAACTTACTCTTGTATTTTACGAATAAAACCAAATTTAAAAAAAAAAAAAAATGTACAATTGAATGCAACAATGCACAGGTTTATTTACATGTTAATGATTGTTTTCCAATTTTCTCCATCTTGTTAAGCCCATTGAGAAAATAATCTATTCAATTCATTTGTCACTATTCATGAGTCAATTTTTTTCCCAATTCAATTGAATTGCCTCTTGTTGCAAAAATAGTATGTCTAGGTAGTTTAACATGAACTGACTGTTAGGGCTCATTAAATTAGTCAAGAATATTTCATAATCATGTTCAGCCATTTCAATTGAATCAGTGATGATCTTAGTGTTCATAGGTAGGAGACACTGTTTTTGAAACTGTGATTTATGGACTGCTAGACGGTTAGGAGATACTCCATGGCTCACCCAAGTCAGCCAAAAAATTTCTCAAGTCATCGTTTGAGCTTCAGTTTTTCTATAGTCAAAGATTACAAAGGAATCATCACAATAATACCCCGATAATCCGATGAACTGCGGCAAAGCCTGCGCCAGATACTGAAAACGCTAATAATGATAATCAAATATGCATAAACACTTGAAACCATGTAAAATAATTCTAGAAAACACAAAGATTTTCTTCGAGAGACAAGTATTGGCGTGTCAGCGACCTTAACAAGAACCGACTAAGTGAAGGCCAGATAATCAAGGTATTACTGCACTTTTAGATAAATTTTGATAAAAAAACTTGATTAAAAGCTGGTATCAAAGTACTGTTCCCTTTGTTATCAATAATGCCAACACTGTATTCAGTTGGAAAGTTAGAGATTGTTCTATAAGTAAAAATATTGAGGCATGTAGGTTGCTTTCCTCTCGAAACAGACAAATTCTAGAAATAGCAAGAGATATGTTGAATGCTCCGCAGCCAGTGACAGAAATAGCAAGCAAGTCATAAATTCGTATGTCAAGACTTTATTTTTTTCTTCTCCAGTATGCGAACCTCACATAACTTAAAACGCCCTATTCTTACATTTATTATTCACTAAGAAAACCAGGAATGGTCCAGTCATGAGATTTAGTCTGTTAAATACACATGTTTATGTACCATGAAAATTTAAAATTCTTTTAAAATGTGTAGAAAACTTATAATACTGGGGAATGTAATTACTCGAAATTGGTGAACAGCATGTCTCCTTTTTTACATTGCACGTTTTTCTAATTTTTTCTTAGTTCTAGGTTTTCACGTTCTATTAGCTTTTTATTTGTCGTCATCGTACCTAAAATTTTAGACCTTCGAACCTGTTTTTAATGTATTTTATTTTAATGGTATTTTAAAAACATAAGTTTCTGTGTTCTTATCAGAAAAAGTTGTTTTAAAGAAAGAAAAGCATGCATGAAAGGTATATCTCAATCTAATATTAGGTAGTATAACTTGGTTGATTCATTTCTTGAAACTCGATGCGTTTTAAAATTAAAATAATTTCTAGCTAAAACAGACAGTTGAGAAGAAAAAAAAAGTTTTAAAGTTGCTCAATAAATCATTTTTCATTGAAAAGTGGTATTTTGATCACTACAGATTTTTTTAAGCTTTGTACTAAATTACTACTTGGGCTATGTATCCGTAGTTATAGAGAAACTTGTGCGAGAATTTCAAGTTTTCTTTATTGCTATTTGATGACAGTGTCAGCACAAATAGAAATTCTGAGCTCGTTTGAGATGTTCTGGATCATAATTTTAATGGCCTTTGACTGCTTTTTTTCAAAAGTGCAACTCTTTGTGAGCTAATTTTAAGTGTACAATTAATATTTCTTTAATTCAGCGTTTTTATACATTATTGTGCCAGGAAGAAACTACTTTGTTAGTTTTTTAAAATCCTATCCGTTAGTCATGTAGACCTTCTGCAGTCATCCTCCAACTCTTGTACTTTGGTTTCATTGAGAAAATAACTAAGTGATTTTTAAACCTACTTAGATTTTTCAAAAGTCGATGATAGAAATCAGTGTACTTGGAAATTCCATCTCTTCTTCTTTATGTTTCCTGATGTTTTTAGCCAATTTTTTGTTTTGTTTTGTTTTGTAGCTAAATTGAACATTGTTCAGTTCCATGGCTGATACGCATTGGGTACAGATAATCTTCACTTTTTTCTTTTCAATGCTCATTTCTTTGTCAAGATGTGGAGTGCATATACCCAAAAGTTATTGTATTCTTCAGGCAATAAAACTAAAAACCTTTATGAAGTGCATCATTTTCAGTGAACCATGGGATCATTAATTTTGGTGCCTTTGGGTTTTTAACTGTCATCCAAAAGAAAAGATCAGGAAATTTCTTTATTTCATTCAATTGAGCTCTAAATGTCTCTTTTTAATGATATCATTGATTTAATGCATCAACTTCATTGATCTATCCGATAATTTTTTCACTTGAATCAAACTGTCCGAAGGATCGACATATATGGCTGAACGGTGAATGCCAAAACCACATTTCTCAGTCAAGATGTTATAAACTATTGTGCATACTTTATATTTTTGGATAGAAAACCCATCAGCATTTTGGCTGGAGATTTAAATTGATTTTATTTAATCATTCCTATTTGTAAACCTTTCAAGCTGTAGTGTCAATTTGTTTTTCATCCAAGAAATACGGAAAGTTTGAAGCTTCGTAATTGTAGTACAAGGTTTTAACATTAAGCCATCAAATTTTTCAGTTTTAACCTTAGGAAATGAGCATGTATCACCAATCGATTCGAAAATATTTGTATGTAAATAATAAGCTGTTTCCTCCTCATACATATATGTTCACTGCCAAGGATTCGATAATTTCTCCTGAAGTTCACTATTTTTTTAAAAAACTTTTCTCTCCTTTCTGTTTGACTTTTATGAAGCTCAATCAGTCATAATATGGCGACTCTTCACCGAACAGAAAAGGAAGAAGGCATTGTTGTGTACAAATTTGTTGTTCTTGAAAAGTGTATCATATCGATGTAAATTTTGTTTGTATTTAAAAAAGGAAACTGAAAAGATTGATTCACGTAAAGTTGATTATAAATCACAACTAATTTTAGGTAATTTAGCAATTGCGTAAGAGGTGGGTAAAATGGTTTTTAATGTACTTCTTTTTTGTACAGTGTAATATCTGAGCTATCGCAAGCATTTTATGCGAATCCAAGTAACTTTTACGAAGGAATTTTTTAGACTGAGATTATACATAATTACTTGAGGGCTTTTCCTGCCCCTCAAATTCTGATAGAATATGATTTAGGAAATATGAAGTACTTAATCGACAGCACTGTTTGATACTTTTAGCTAACCAGTCTACTTTCTCAAGAATAGTCATGAACTCGACTTCTCAACTTGTATATTGTGACTGAATTAACTTAAAAATAGATTTCTAGCCAAGGTTTCCAAATACACACACGTAAAAGTGATTCTTATGAAGAAAATGAGGATCAATTGTTGAAATTTAGGAGTGTAAGAAACTTCAATTTCATCCCTGAAAGTCGATTTTTGAATTCTCACTGCCCATCCGGTCCGAAAAAATTTGATGACACTTTATACAAGCAGCATTAGAATTCAGCATTTTTGTCTTATCCTCTAGAATACAGAGAGACTGATTCTACATGTTGCAGAATGCGGTTCCATCATTAAATCAATTTTTCAAATTGTTTAAAGAGCAATCTAGTCGAGTTGTTTTTATGATCTATCGCTGGAACTTTCCTTGCCTTACTTATGTAACAAAAAAGAAAAGACGGTTCACTGATTTGAAGGATAGTAAATTCAAAGCTTGAAAAAGCAAAGGTTCTAAAAAATATTTACATTAGGAAATATTAATTTTAGGTTTTTAGAAACGTTCCGAAAATTCCCTGGAAGAGCTCAAAATGTCCATATTGAAACACTTTTATCAAGTAATTTCTCATGGTCGTTGGCGATTGGTTTTTGTCAACCATCTTAAGTTTTGTTAACCATCATAAGTGTCAACCATCTTAATGGATAGTATTTATTTCAGCTCGTTCAAAACAAATTAAATTTAGGAAGTTTCAATATTCTGGAGGAATCGACCTATGTACATAATTTACTGAATAGACTGACATTTTCTTCAAGAAAGAGTCAAGTATGTAAAATTTTCATGTTTTTTTTTGTGTGTTTCTTTGAGCTGCAGTCTGCATTGAATGTAGTTTTTATGGGACTCAAGTTTCAATGGCTCAACTCCTCAACCATGTATTGTTGAATTTTCTCAAAATTTTGGCGCATATTTCATTCAGCATCATGGACTCATAATTTCTCTGATTCTTCTTAATTATAGAATTGTCATCTCACTAAAATTCCGAGTTATAATGTTCATTCAATTTGCTCTCCTTCTTATGAGTGTAATATGCACCGAAATTTTAAAGTATTGCCA